GCCAATGAGCGACGTTCCCGCGGTGGCCTTGATGTAGAAGATCTACTGTGCTACGTGCCTTGGCCAGCGTCCGGGCCTGGCCGTACGCTCATCGATCAGACCTGTTGCCTTTCTTCTTTGCTCAATGCTCAAGAACAAGTACGAAAAAAATGGCAAGAGAAGGAGTGACAAAACTAAACAGCTACAACCTGAAAACAATTCAAAACATTCTTCTTCTTCAAGGCCAAGGGAAAAATGGCAAGAGATCTGGCCACCACGTCCCCGACCTCCACCCCTAGGTGGTATCGCGCTTATATAGTCTACGAGTACGAGCATCAAAGGACGACTTAACCTGAGGAGTAAATAATTGGAAAAAATGGCAAGAAAAAAATGGCAAGAGAAGGAGTGACAAAACTAAACAGCTACAACCTGAAAACAATTCAAACCATTCTTCTTCTTCAAGGCCAAGGGAAAAATGGCAAGAGATCTGGCCACCACGTCCCGGACCTCCACCCCTAGGTGGTACATGTATCGCGCTTATATACAGTCTACGAGTACGCTCATCGGAGTCATGGTCATGTTTTCACTGGCATTCTTTGAAACTGTATTTATGAATATGATTGTCTACATAACCTCTGCTGATCATTGTGACCATCGGCCGGTACATCTGGTACATATTAGTTATTACTGTAGGTCTACGTAGTCACCGAATAGTCAGGAGTCAGGCCGGGCTTGATGTACATGTGTGTGTAGTTGAAGAGGCTACCATGCTTGTCTCAGGACAAGTCTCCTAGATCCTGCATGCCTCTTTTTTTGGCAAATCCTGTTCTCTTCCAGTCTTCCTCAGACACAACCAGGGATTCAACTAACTAAATAAAAGTTATGATGAAGAAAGGACAAAGACAAAATGTTACGAGTTATGACAAACTGTCCACCAACGTAACCAGATCTTATACAGTCAGCGAGTGCGACAAAGTGGCACAAAACTGACAAGGAGTAATGAGACATTCGGCGACCTGACACCTAGCTCCAACACTTCTCCAAGGCGCAAACCAACAACCTTCCAACTTGGAAGGCTCAGGTTCGGAAAGGTCCACTGAAGAGGGGAAGAGGAAAGCGCAGCGAAGAAGAGCATGAGCTACGCATCACGGCAACAAAGACAGTTTGTCATAACTCGTAACAGTTGTCCTTTTCCTTTCTTCATCTTAATAAAAGTCTTTGGGTTTATACGACCCCTAGGCCCTAGCACTGGTCATAACAGGACACAAACAAGAATAACTATGCGCGGTGTAGATCTACCGCAGTGTATAACGCAGACTACTAAGTACTGTACCAGGCAGTATAGCCGCAGAGCTCCTTGGCGGAAGTTAGTTGTTACCGCGGCATCGAGCATTATTTTACAAGATAACCACCAACCATCATTGTGCAAACGCTGGCAAAAACGCACAGAGATACACATAGCGATGGCAGCAAAAAGCAGTGGAGGCGGGGCAAGAGTAGCTAAAAACTAGCCTAAATCGACCAAGGGTTTCGGTTTCATCACTGCTCATGCGCGCCAAACTGAAAAATACGAAAATAGAAAAAAAATGAACAGGAGCATTGTGTAAATCTACCGTGTACTGCGCGCGCCACATGTGACCGTGGAGGAAAACCTCAAAGGGTAGATCTCCACCTTTCTCTTTGTCAGCACTGCCACATGGAACTCCCTCCTGGTTGCCATTCGTACTGTATCCAGCCCAAAATGTGTTATCGCTCTTGTCCGCACCCACTTTGCTATCACCCGTTATGAGCCCTCTGGTTTCATTCCACGTAGAGTAGCAATTTCTCTCCTCAGCTTCTTCTTCTTCATAACTTATTAAAGCTGTTGACGGAGACTCCCTCGATTTAAGGGCTAAGGCCTGTGGAGAATCCATAAGTAAATACAAAAATTAAATACAACAAGGGCCTGGGTCAGTCAAGACAATTAAAAAATTATTATTCAATGGCCACCAACAACCATTCGCTACCGGAAGTATGAGAGCACAAATGTGACTATGTACATAGGCTATACAATTGTGTACAATGCACCTGATCAGTGCTGGTGGTCTGCATGGCAAAGGGTTCTGAGGTCATGCAGATAGTGTTTTCAATGAAAAGCAGGGTAGAAATCATGGCCATACATTATTGTATGCTCGAACTCGTCTTCTTCAAAGTTCTTTCCCACACTGACACAGTACATGTAGCAGAAGATGCGAGTGAATCAACCTTCATCAGGTATCCCGGGGGCGGACGAGATACATGTAGTGGCGGGTAGTCCGCAAAACTCCGTGTACATGTCATGTACATTACATTTGTACATTATGCATGTTACGAAGTCATGACCAGTCTGGATTTTAGCAGCCATGATATGACTGCAGGCTATGGATATTGCTCTAAATTGATGTATAGTTGATGTTCGGTCATGATGGAAGAAGACGTGGAGCTAGGGAGAGATGAGCTGATTATTCTCAGGGTGAGGCCCAGGGCAACATCGGATGGACGAGTATGATGATTACGAAGACAGTTGAACATGATAATTTTCAAAGCTAATTTGGCAATGAAATAATATTTTTACTGAAGTACAAAAGAAATCAAGTAATGAATAGAAGAAGTATTGTTTTCTCTTTTCCATGTTGACCTCTTACATGCATGGACACCTTGCCCTTGGTATGGGGATACTCATGTGCATGTACATGTATTTTCTTGTACTTATGGCCACTTGCAACTTCCAAGTACGAAAAAAGGCACAATTTCCCGAACTTTGAGGCTCCATAAGTACAACAAAGTGAATATACATGTATATCCCCGGGTGCCAAAGCATAATATGAGGATTTTACGAGCATAATGCGAGAATCCATGAAAGCATAATTCCTTGATTTCGCGAGCATAATCCGCCGGTGCCTTCCGCCGAGGTAACTTCTGGACCCTTGAACCAGGGAGTAGTACAATATAAACGGTATTGTACTACTCCCAATGGAAATTGTACTACACCCTGCTTGATACAATCAATTCAACAGTCCCTCGTAGTTCTACATGAAAAAGGTTTTCATGTACTCTTGATTGGGGCTGAAACGATTATACCGAATAATCGAGTACTCGTTTGATAACTCTGACGATCGAGCAATCATTTAGAATACCGATTACGATTATTTTGCGTTTTTTAAATTTGTGTCTACAGTCCATTCAGAAAAAGATGGGCCCTGGCTCTGGCGAGCTCCCGTATTTGGCGATTTTTCGTGATTTCATGTACACAGTGCAGTGCTGCGAAATTTGAACTTTGAAAAAGAGTCCAAAAAGGGTACCTGAACTGGGGTTCGAACCCCACAATGCACTGTTGCAGGCAGGGTCAAACGGCCTGGATTTTTATGGTTTTTTTCCAATTCAATGCTTCTGGGGCAAAACCTGGCCGATATCCTATTCTTGTTATGGCTTGCTTTTTGGACAAATAGACTTCAGAAACATAATTGGAAGAGGAATCCATAGGGGATTGCAGAAAAAAATTCTAAAAAAACTCAAAGTTTGACCCATTTATGGCCAAAAGCTAGAAGTCCATCTTTTTCTGAATGGACTGTAGAAAGTACTGTAAACCCTCGTTTTGTGAAGTTTGAATCAGTTTCCGCTGGGAGTATGCAGTTGCCAGGGGTATGGTTCATGTTCTGAGGTTAAATTGACTTCAAAACTGCCATGTTTCGGAGCTACCCTTTCACTAATGCAGATTTGTTGATATTATGAAGGCATAGTTTGTGGAAACAGAGTAATGTTTGCACAGAATTATGACTCTATTTGCTAACGATTATAATCGATTACTCGATCGTTAAAGGGGAAGTTAAGGCAAAAATTAAAATTTCACCAGTTGTAGTCTTCGGGGTGCTGAGTCGAATGGTCTTGGTCCGAGGAAGCTGAGACGCTCCCTTCCTACTTGAATCCCAATCGAACTCGCGCACTTCCACCGAAACTGGGTGACTGCGCCCTACTAGATGGGGATTTGTATGCAAAATGTCACTAAAAGCGCCATTTCGTTCTTATAAAAGCACGGATGACCGCGATTGGCGCATATGTTGTAGTCTTTTGGACGCTGAGTCGACTGGTTTTGGTCCGAAAAGGCTGCGATGCAGCGTTCCTCCTTTATTCCCAATCGAACATGGTTGAACAAGCGGTCACGTGCTCCTGGGTGCCCAAATCACCTGGTCACCACGCCAGCAGGCGACAAATTTCACACCAAGGTTCAACTCGAGTGACAGGAGTGCATCCAAAAAAGGTCAAACAGGCTAGTAAGTTGTACCCTGCAGGCACGGTGACCAGGTGACTGGTGTACGCAGGAGCACGTGACCACTTCTTCAACCATGTTCGATTGGGAATAAAGGAGGAACGCTACATCGCAGCCTTTTCGGACCAAAACCAGTCGACTCAGCGTCCAAAAGACTACAACATATGGGCCAATCGCGGTCATCCGTGCTTTTATAAGAACGAAATGGCGCTTTTAGTGACATTTTGCATACAAATCCCCATCTAGTAGGGCGCAGTCACCCAGTTTCGGTGGAAGTGCGCGAGTTCGATTGGGATTCACCATGGTTGGTTAACACCCACATCTCCCGTACTGGCTGATTTTCTTCTCATGCCATGAGGTGTTGTCTATAATAATAATAATAATAATAATAATAATAATTCAAGTAGGAAGGGAGCGTCTCAGCTTCCTCGGACCAAGACCATTCGACTCAGCACCCCGAAGACTACAACTGGTGAAATTTTAATTTTTGCCTTAACTTCCCCTTTAACGTTTCAGCCCTACTCTTGATACAATCAAGAGTACTACATAACCCCCGCCCCAGGGGTTATGTACTTTTGATACAATAGATCATGGGTGCATGACCTGTGAACCCCTAGCTTGACATCATTGCTAGCTAGCTGTACGAGTACTGCTGGCCTGGGTGCATGGAAATGGTACGGGATATCGTACAGGATGTGCATTCTTTTGAAGTTTTCTGCACACTTTTCGGCTCGCTTTTTGCATGTTGTTGATGTGGGAAATTTGAACATTCTTCTGTCACAGATATCATCTCCTTCAGTAAGGACTCCATTAGTCTACAGGAGGGAGAACAGCTTGAAGTCCTGTGTGCAGATTCCAGTTCAAGTAAATTGCAGATCTACGCAGGTCCTGACGTTTTCGGAATGTGTTCGGTGATATTGGTACCGATGTGATGTGCGAAGATAACAGTTGAACTTGTAGAACAGTAGAAGAAGGAACAGGGATATTTATCAAAGGATTTCCTGTAAATCAACTCCTTTGGGCTTCTGAGAATGTCCCAGGTAAGATCCAGTTATTTCGAGCACATGCATTGATTCCTTTGCTGAGCAATTTAGTCCAAATTTGTCGTCGTTGACACATGCCATATACGGACTAAATAATTCAAGAACTTACATGGTACAGGGTTGACCCAGACCAGAGATTGTGAGCGAGCTGGATTGTTTTCACCTTGCGGTTGCTCGTCGCATTGGATTTCGAAGTCTGCCCGCTGAAAACACGAGCGCGAGCCATAGTAAAGTCACGTCCGGAGCCCCGTGCACATTCTTGCCACGTACATCCTGTTGAGTACCACGTGTGGTATATCCGCAATTGCCACAGCTTCACACAGAAGTGTACAATACTCAATAGCCGAAAAGCTCACAACATTTGAAATCACCTGAACCATGTGAACCTCATCAGTTCTGGCTTGAAAATGTAGCAACAGTGATGTACCTTGTAACCAGGGAGTAGTAAAATACCATGTGTTTTACTACTCCCTGGTTGTAATGCTGTCAAAGCTGTCCCTGCGGGAATTTGCGGGCCAAAATCGCGAAATTTGTTGCATCCGTGGAATCGCGATTTCCTGGAGGGACAGTGAAAGAGTCGGCCGGTAACGTTAGAACTTAGATCTACTGCATGGGGGCTGGGGCATGACACTTCCATACTGTGGCACCAAGGACTATGTAACCCTCCGCCATACCCATGGCGCATAGGCAACCCCAACACGATGAAATGGTGATGGACTGCTGACCTTTGAACCAACCGCTGATGGGTAGTGGCAAGATATGGCAGTGGCAGTCAAAGGGGGCATCTTTGTTGTCACCATTTACCAGTGTTTATCACAAGTTGACAACGGTACAGAGGTGCAAAATGTACATGTGGCGGGGGGGATTGCAGCAATTTGTTCACTGTAGTGCAAGTGGTCTACTAGTGGATACATGTACAGTTGTGGCAAACGAAAGTCAACGTGACCGCTGTGCACTTTCACAGTCTTTCACACCTGCAAACGAGTTCAGTGATGATCTCAAAGTATGTATGCCAGAGAGAGCACGTGGGACATCCAGGCAGTGGCTTTCCGTGCTGCAACTGTGCATCTGTCGAGCTTTCACTGTCCGGGTGTGATCTCGAGTTGCTGCCCTCTACCTGCATAATGTTCTAAGCTAAACCTTGTGTGTGTGTATGCCAATCGCTTCCCAAGTACCTTGAGCTTGAGTGAAACAAATGATTCCCAGATCAGTACACAGGTAAAGGCAGAGTTCACGGTTCAAGTTGAAGTTCTGACATTGTCACAGTGTGGCTACTGTACATAACCAGAGTGCACAACTGTGCACATCAGATCTGAAACAACTCAGTTTGTGCACTACATCACCCTGATGAGGTCACCCGAGCCTACAGCTCAAATCTGTGTGTTTCACAGCCCGGAAACCGACCCAATTTGCATGGTTTTAGACGTCCTGCTTTTGTGTTTTTGGTGCCTGCGTACACTCCGTACATCCGCTGTCAAGTAAATTCACCAGGCTGTCCGTATTGAAAAGACCGAAATCTGCAACTTAGTGACCTGCACGACAGCGACTGGTTACGCAACTTTTCACCGTACACGTACACGTGACTTACCATGCCGTCAGAAATGACGCACTGACACGGATTATGCTCCCACAGGAACCACCCTGAGTTGCACACTGTCACTCTGGTTTATGTACATCAGGGATGAATTTATCCGGTATCGCATCGCAGTTTGCTATGCAAAATCGATCTACTGCTGCTCAAAAATCACCGCGACTAGCAGAAAACTGCGATACATACAGGCTATCCATGCCTAGCTTGCGCCGTCAAGTAACAAAAACTGCTATGCAAAAAAATAACAGAAAATTCATCCCTGTACATGTACTCTTGATAGTAGTACGAGCTCGTAGCTTGGCACCAGCCGGCTGTAGATAAGCCCAGACTGAACACGGGCTTGCCACATAGAGGATCCGTGTATCTTTCTTCCTTTTCTTCGATGCACTTGTTCTCCAGGTGAACAATAGAGTTTCAACCACACTGCCATGGGTTATTCTGCTGATCACCACCATTATCTGTTGTAAGTATACCTATACGTATAGTCACTAGAAATTACAATCCGGATCCAAGTTGATTGAACGGATCCTCTGCAGAGCCGTCAAGCCCACCAAACGCTGTCCTGGGTCAAGGTTATGATCTTGAATGGTCCAGACGTGTTTATGTGACGATCTTCAGCAATCTTCATTCTAAAGAGCCGTTATGCCATACGATACACAAGCGAACAAATTTGTTACCAGTTTTCAAAGGGTCCGACCTGCCCTGCTATTGGAGACTGTACTGATGCTGGACTTGGGCACTTCTACTACAACGTAGATGACTGACTAAAAGCCGCCTGTATCCACGCAGGCACATGATACATACTACAGGAACGCAACGCCGCCTGCAGCCACATACCGGTACCTCCAAACTGTGTGCTCTGTGCGTTGGTGTGCTGTACAGCGGTCCAGCACCTGCATGTGCATGTGGGATGTGGGCTAATGGTAGGCATCAAGAAATGTAACATGAAAATGAAAAACAGTCAGGAGCGGAAGATCATTCCACCCTGGATCGAAAAACAAGCCTGAACAAACTTAACATTTCATCCAATTATGGTCACCGCTGGAAGGTGGAACAGCATAGCAAGCAGGTTATAATGTACCATTTACACATACGGAGTCTTTCGAACGCAGTGCATGCGGCTTGCTTGCATGCACAACCTGTGTAACATCCCATGGTATGTTGGATACGCCGGCACGGCCGAGTATACGGTGTAGTGATCATTAATGTGGTGTTGTGACAGTGCATGGGGCAGCTCAGGCGGCACTGCTCACATGATGTCTGCCGGCATCTCTTCTCTTATGTTGCTTTAGCTTGCAATGCCGACTCGAACGGAATCTGTCCGCAGTTTAGCATCCCCAATGGTGCTGTGACCCAACAGGGTAGCTTGATCGGAATGAATGCAACTCTGGTCTGTGATCGGGGCTACCGCATCGATGGAACTCAGCACTACACGTGTTCCCTGCTGAGAAACAATGGCCGCTGGATTGGGGATCAGTATTGCGTCCGTAAGTCTGGGCAAACACTGCATTTCATGGATGCGTGCATCTGTATTTGGTGGGGTTTGTACAGGTATGCGTGTATGTGCATATGTGTGCGTGTGTCAGAGTAGGTGCAGGAGTCTGTGGGGTGCAAGAAAGTGTGTATTTAATACTAATACATGTCTGTTAGCAGTGGAGCTCACATGGAGCTTACCTGGGCAAGACACACCCTGCTTAGTACATGTAGTCTTTTTCATGGCATGGATTTCTCCCAGGAAAGCGCATATTCTCAATATGTACGATCACAATACGATGCATTCCATCTTCATTGCATACATCATACCCGTACGTACTTGAAAACACGTAGTTAAAACGTACAGTACTACACTGTATAGACCAAACGACTGCGATCCTACTGTGTGTTTTTTTTCTTGTACTGTACAGCAATCCCTACCTACTGCAGACATCTGATAGTGGAGAATGGGGATAGCACCACCTACAGTCGCGGCCTCTCCCTGGGGAGCATAGCCACATTTAGCTGTGCGCCAGGATACGCGCTAACGGGCGACATGAATTTCCATTGCCTGGAGCATAGCGCCACGCATGGACTGTGGTCCGGCAGGCAGTTCTGCAAGGGTAAGCAAGACGTTCTATCATGCAATCACACGACCTTAGATATGCCACCTGTCGATATAATAGGGTTGTCAGGGGACAGTTGACTGGTCGCTAAAACACCATTTTTGCATCCTGTGCATGAAAGATACAGGGTTGTGGCCTTGGGTTTCAACTCTCTGGTGATCACTTTGCACTGTTTGCCACCATGTCACGTGATGGGAAGTTCTGCCATCGCAGCACTGGATAAAGGTTGCACAGGCAGCTTAACACTCTTGCAGGTTATAATACTCTTGATATGGCTGGTGTAGCTTCCTGAATGTTGGGCAGGTGATTACAGCTATATGTGGCTTCATGGATATTGGACGGATAATTCTGGCTAACTGCAGCTTCATTGAATTTTTCCTTGGTACATAGCCTGCTCTGGCCGACTGACTGCTTACTCTCGTAGAGCTTGCTAGCTGGGTCCTTAGGTGCAGGCGGTCACCTTATCGAAGGTCTTGGTCCTGGAGATGACAGGTAATGACCCTCTGCTAAGATACGTGGTTGCTTTGCCAGAGTAGTGCCCAGGATGGCCATTCAAGTGGTGAAATACAGGTTTAGTGGCCAACCATGGGATCGGCATATCACAGCCTCTGAGCACAGGTGGTCTCTTGAACAGGTTTTACCTGTATCTGTAAGTGTGCTACTGTCGCTTGCCAAGTTTCCAGGCATGCAATGAAGTCAAGACTAGTAGCAACCATTGATGTCTGGGTTTTTTCTTCTCTTTTCCCCATGACAGTTGTTGACAACTACTGCAGCGCTGACCTTACCGTGGACAATGGAACGGTGGAGTATAGCAATGGCTGCCGCATATTAAGTGAAGGAGTAGTAACCTGCAATGACGGTTTCGAGCTCTCGTTGGGTGAACCCCACCAGTGCTTACAGCACAATGCCACCCACGGGCAATGGTACGGAACAAGGACATGTATAGGTAAGCCATTCATCGCCTGTGATCTGTGCTGCTGCTGCTACTGCCGCTGCTGGTGCAAAGACCTGATACTGTCCTCTGAGGCTACTTCAGCCTTGCTGAAGCGTAATCATGTGTTCACAGCTCTGCATGTGTCGGATATCCGCTTACCGGTATGACCCGTACGATAAACGCACACACTGTCAACGGGCTGGTCATTAGGAGGGGTTTGAACTACACTGCGCTGTATCTGTGCTCCTTAACTTGTTGGAGCACGGACGGAGACCTGTTCATTGTTCACGCTGACAGTGCAATGGCTACACACGTCACATAGACAGGTACACGTGCACGCATGCGCCTTCAAGGCTATGAGTATAAATCTCTTTGGTGGCTCTCTAAGAATCAGATCTTTCAATTCAGCATAATTTGTGAGTGTGCATGGCAAACAGTTTCAACAATACCTCGTGGAAGAGTGGTCTTGAATGTCACACTGATAACGAGAACAATTATTGTATACATGTATTCTCTATAATATAAGCACAGGTCTCCATTACTAGCTCAGTCTCTAATACTAGCGCACTGTGAGCGCCTTTCGAAACATTACCAATTTGCTACAGTCTCAGTGCATAATATCTAGCACGTATTTCTTCTTGTTCTGTATAGAAGTGGTTGAAAAAAAGTAAAAGCGCTTATACCGTAAAGTACCGCCAGAGCGCCCCACCCTGAATTACGGAAAGAGGACTCTTGTTTCCGGCCATAGAAGTGAACGCCGTATGGTCTGGTGCGACTGAAGTCGTACGGGGTTCACTCTGTTTTTGCAACATTGGGGTGCGTCGCATTTTACTTGTACGGTGAGCCATGTGAACTGCAGTGCAGCCAGCACGAACAACATGGAATTTACCTTCACCAAGCCACTGTTGCTTCACTGTGACAGTCGCTGTGTAGGTGGGTGTATGACCCCAGTACAGACCACCTCACACACTCCCGGTCACCCTGCCTCCCCAGAGCGACCACGAAAGGACGATTGGTGGGGCGCTCTGGCGGTACTTTACGGTAATAGGAAACATACTTTTGCGATGTGATGCGTGATGCGACGGCCGCGAGACCGGGAAATCCCCGAATCGTAGGCATCTCGCAGCCTACGCAACTGGGCCATTGCAGAAGTTGAGCTTGGCTCAACTTTCGCGATGCTACAAGCGATGTAGCGTACAATTTTGACCTTTTCTGCAGCAAAGTTGTACCAAGCCACGGGAATACCATGGTGACGTACCCACGCGCATTGAACTTCGCACCAAATCAGCAAGCGTCGTCGCATCGCTGACTTCTTCTGTGAATGGTATTTCACGAGCTTGCATCGCACGCCTCCGTCGCAGATCGCGTCGCCCATCGCATCGCAAAAAGCTCCTGTGAATCCCACTTTAGTGTCAATTAAAAACAAGCCATGTAGGCTATTTTGAATAATGCAACTGCTGACAAACGTGTGTATGTGTGTGCGCAACTGGCGGGCATGTTTCTCTCTTTTCTCTGTGTTCCTTGCATCCAGATGGCAGAAAAACATCGCTCCGCCTCACAAGACACCTCCACCTCGGCAAGGTGTGGTTGGCAATCATAGCAGCTGCAGGGTCCATGGCCGGCGTCGTGTTTTTCGTCTGCTTGATCATGCTAGTGCGCACCTACACGAGCGGCGGCACACGACGCAAGTCTGGCAAAGCCGAGTTACCGCTGGACCCTGACGACATGGTGCCGTTCCCAGCATCCACATCCGGCATCAGCATCCAGCTAAGTCAGGTAGCACTCTCCCAGGTGCTGCATGCAAAGGCATATGAATGCGACGACCTTGGTCGCAAGAGCTCCATTCCTGCGGTGGCATCCGGCTTGAGTTACGGGCCGACTGCACCAGTGGCTTCCAGGGCAGATTCAGTGAAGCAAATCAGAGGCTGGTCTGTGTACTGGCCTGATCCTACCTCGGTTCAATATGTCAACACAACTGGTCCTAATGGGTACACTGCTAACATGGACGCATGCGCAGATGCCATCACAGGTGCTGCGCTTGCGCAGTCTCCGGATGAGAAGCCGCCCATCTCTAGTGGCTGTGCGGTCAACACTGGGGCACAAACTAGAGAAGTGAGTGGCGGCGGTATGCGCGCTATATCAATACCTGGCACATCGTCGGGCCTGTGTAGACAGTGCACGGAGCCACGCGGAGAAGTGTATGGCGGCACAGCGCACACACCAGAGGATAATTTCTCGCCTTTGCAGAGCCTTGATGCCGATGCGTACCTGATGCCTGTGGACGCGGAAATGAAATCAGCCAATGTAGCTCTAGATCTGGAAATGAAATCAGCCAATGCAGCTGACAGTGGCACGGAGAAAGGCATTGCCAATAGAAGCTATTTGCCACCTCTGCACTTGTCCGATAACTTGAAACATGCAGCACCAGCCAATAGCATTCAAGCCACGTTCAAGGCACTGGTCAGATCTGGTAAGAATCCACTGCGGCATGTCTTTCCATCCGAGTTTGGCTTGAAGAGAGGTCAGAAGTGGACTCCTGCACCGCAAAAGAATGGCGCTACTGTCGATGGAGGAAGAGCAGGCCCGGGCCACCCGTGCAATAACGGCGACGTGGAGAAGAAGATACTCACTGTGACGCAGTCAGGCGACTCGTTTGAAGAAACTCAGGACACCTGTGCCCAGATGCTAGAGTTCAGTCGCTGCAATACAGCTGAGCAGAAGAACGCCAGAGGCGATGGTTCATCAGACGTGCGGAGCCAACAACTTCCAGCTGAAGTGTTCCATCCGAAATACGCCGTCTTAGAACAGGACCTTTGCCGCAACATTGATGGTATAGTTGTGGACGCTAGGACCAGATCAAGGACGGCCAGTGGCAGATCACATGGAGCGGTGCAGTTCCAATCCACTGTCTTGCCACAAGTCCCAACAATCCAGCACACGGCCGACCCAGACGTGAATATCTTAAATGAACGAACTGAAGATATGAACACAGAAACCACAGACAATGGAGCATGCATCTCACGATGCCGGCCTACGGCACAAACTCAGTTTCAAACCAGTCAAGATGAAATGCTGCCAGTCGGTCAACTGCACAACTCCCCCTCTCAGTGCAGTAGTCTGTTTGACGACAGCGATGCCCGTGACTCCAGCAATGCATGGGTTTGAGGAGTTGACCACCAGCCCTGGTCATTCGGGTGCAGTGTTTTGAGCCGTCTCGAACGGCACAGTGCTGATAAGTCGCTAGTGACCTGTCATAGCTGGTAGTCTCATATGCCTTTGCGCCGTGGTGCAGACGTCAACAGCACCGTGCAGCAATCGTACTGTCACCCTAGACAGGCTTACGTCATAGCCTTATGTCGCTGAAGGCCATGGCATGGGTTCCTTCAGCATGCCGCAACATCTGCAGTTCAAACTGCTCCACGGGTGCTGTATAGACTGATCAGCAGCGCATTGACAGGCTGTGCGTGTCGACTATGCATGCAAATGGGGGGATAATACAAGCTAGAGGTGCAGCAGTAAACTGTGAGCAGTGCATTCATGTTTGACCGCTGTTACCAGATGCCTGCAAAGAGCATTGTATTAATTAGCAGTAACGTTACCTGTTGCAGTAGGGCACGGGCACAATTACGACTGGCAAATGCAATGCACTCAACAGCAGAGATATTTTTTTGTTTTTGTTGCAATAGACAGGAAAGGATCTAACACTTACATGCCTGAATGGTGTGATCACCACCCCAACCCTCATCTCTCTCACAAACTTCTTTTCACCATGGCCCCGGCACCCAAAACAAGATCTTGAACGTTTCAATCCAGCTTCTGAAATTATCCTTACTACACAAATACTGTCACTAGCGAAAACACCAACGATCTTGCAGTATACATCTGGCACAACAGAAACAGTTCTTCAACAAACCCTATTTCTTTCAAGCACCTATTTGTTGAACAGTACTATTTGTATCAGCAGCTGCACATCGTGACTATTTTCAACGCACTTTTAAATGAAACTCATGCATCATCTTTCCAATTCCCCTGGTCTCATATTCTTATGCTGGTGCATCAACGAAAAATCACTTTCTCTCTGTCTCAGTCTGTCTGTCTCAGGCTCTCTGAATTGAGGATTTTGTCTCTTTTTCTGATGAGATATTTCCTATTGGTTCCTCTCTCTCTCTCTCTCTCTCTCTCTCTCTCTCTCTCTCTCTCTCTCTCTCTCTCTCTCTCTCTCTCTCTCTCTCTCTCTCTCTCCTCTCTGTCCGTCTCCCTCTCTGTCCGTCTGTGATCTCTCGTACCAGCCTGCCTTGATAGATTCACTCAAGTCATGACGCGGTCCCTGAACTCTGGGTACACACATAATTGATTCAGTCCAAAAAGTTAGATAACACTATGATGTCTCTTTGCATCGGATCGACAGCATTGTAAATCCGATACAAAGAGAAGACAAAAAGAACAGCATGGGTAGTACATGTAGTAAAATACCAGTATCTTACTACTTCTCATAAGATACCGGACAGTTTCATTGCCTTCTCTTCAAGGATAGTACCGTAAAATACTGTTGATCCACGCCTCATCCTGCGTCACTTCCGAGATGGATTTTTAGCAGGGGACGGGAATCAGATCATGGCTGCTAAGTGCAAAGATTGGCACACACACAACAATAGCACGGGCAGATTCAACTTTTGAGCGAACCGCGGCCAAAACAGGCTGCTCAAATTTTCAGTGAAAAGGAGACACCACACGAACATCCTTGTTCCGCTTGGGGGTTATCAATGACAACAAATGCTGATCTGATGAGCTCTTGTTGGTAGTCAATTTTGCTGCCTTTCATTACATCGAGCGACACAGTGTCCACAAGCACCTTCACCCCTTGCTCTTCAATAACCCTGCAAATGGCAAACACACACAGTTCGAAGACACAAATCGATACAATACTGTTGGGCGCCAAAGAACAAACAGGCTTGGGTTTGACCAAGCACAGCATACTGATAATATATATATGCGGTGACTCAACTGTACATAGACTGTATGTGAAATATAAGAACAGCCCAGGCTATGAGGCTGACCCCCCTCCCCAGTTCTTCGGCACCCGAAAGTACTGTACAGGCAGCAGCAGATCTGATCAAAGCTTCCTGGCAATGGACATAACATGTATTTGAAAGACAAATTTAATGTGTCTTGAATGATTCCTGATGTGTGGAACAGAACTCAGGATGCCTTTGATGCTACGGAACATGTACGGGACCATGGATGTAGGAAACCCGAGATTCTGCGCTGCTGAAACGTGACTTACCGGTACACCTCTTGTCTGCTCACATGATCTTCATGTGTGAAGCAGCCTGGTTATAACTGCCCGGCTGTATGTACTACATAGTCTAAACAACCGGGTACAGCTACAGGTACAGTGCATAGGTCCGGTACCGTACACTGCTGTTTATGTAGAGCTCTATCTCACTTAACGCAGGACCGACTATCATTAACGACGTACAGATAGACATTGGATACTGTTTGTGGAAATGAACTGAACAAATCAAACTTCTTCAGACATGCACCTCCCAGGCTAGCTGCCTAAATGCCTGGATAAGCAAGGTACGACTGTAGAGGATTTCGGCAGCAGGAATTATTAATGTATAATGTTTCACAGGATATGGTTTAGAACTTTTAACGCTTTCTCAACACAAGCAATCGCAACGTACAGATCATCCTCATTGACAGTAGAATCCAATGTGAATTTGTACTGCCAGCCGGAGCAACCACCGCCGTCAACAGAAACGCGCAAGTGCTCGTTGTCACCAGAGATCTTCTTCAGTTGCTATCAGTCAGAAGAAGCAGACACAATACGACGTGTAAACCATGCATGCCCGAGCCATACAAAGTGTCATTCGCACAATAACTTGGCACATCTCGCTTAGACTGTCAATGTGCACCTACATGTACATGTACGTTATCATTAGTTTGCTCCCTGAGCTCTGCTGACGAGATGTGACCTAACAAGGTCGAAATAGCAAGCTCTCTGGAGATTGAGTGTTATTAGTTTACCCAGCGCTTGCTTCACAGTAGGGGGCTGTTCGATGCAGCCTATCAGCATCCAAAGCCACATACAGTCAAACCTCGTTAGGACGAACTTCAAGGAACTGAACAAATTTGTTTGTCTTATCGGGAGTTCTTCTTATCCAGATCTGACAAAAAATCGATATGCATATCAGATGGATTGTATTTACGTGAAGGTGCATGCTGTGGTACATGGGAAGCATGTTATTCTTAGCATAAGCCAGAAACAGGTACATGTAAGTACAATGACAAAGACAATGAATCACGACTGTGTCGAAAGTTCGTACAACGCACTGATTATTTTGTTCAAAACACGCTTGAAAACAATTTGCACTGTACCTACAATATGACCTCCACTATTGAAAAGAAGAAGAAAACAGGCAGCCAGCGCACGCGCACGCTCGTGGACCGAAAGTTCGTACTACATGACGATGTACATATGACCACACTGACTTTGTTCAAATCACACTTGAAAATAGTTCGTCTTCGCGAAAGTTCGCTGTACAGAAGTTCGTCGTAAACGAATAATTTTGACTTGAATTGATGCCTGGCCAACCATAGGATTGGCCTTAGTTCGTACTAATGGAAAGTTCGCCTTATCAGTGTTCGTCCTAACGAGGTTTGACTGTACTATACACATGAGATGCGAGTTGCTACGGTACGCCGCCATAGTGATGATAGTCGCACTCGGAACAGCCGTAGTAGAGCATTCTAGTTTTTCAAATACCATATTTTAAAGCTTCACACGTACACAATTTAGATCAACAAAAATTTCTAACGCATACAGTGCTGGTAAATCTTCCAGTAGTGCAAGTGTCGCATGCATGATAGTACAGTACAGCGTTTTGTAAGCAGGAAACGCATTACTTTGGGAAAGTTGGCTAGTTCAGCACTTTTCCAAACCGTGAGTTCGTCCTGTCTGTCATCAGTTTCTAGTTTAGGCAACACGTTTTATTTCTATGTTTCTCGTCGTCCACGCGCATACGATTCATGAGTTTGGAAGAAAAAAAGAAAACAAACTGTGCTGCACTGTGGGGACCAGCATAATATGCACATGTGCACCCTGGCCTGGCCTGCGCGACACATGATGCGAGGTCGGCAGGTTTTGTTGTGCAATCTAGCTGCACGTGCACAGAAGCTCCTACCACGTACACGTAGGTCTACTACTTATTACAATGTAGTTGCTAACTTTGGATGCTATTTTACACAGTGCATTGGTCGATTTTAGTACATGACCAAAGGTCTAGCAAACTTTTATTTTTATTTTTCGGCCATTTTTTGTTTTTTCCACCTCTCGCATTATGATTTTAGATTTTTGGGTGACGAGAAGCATAGAAATAAAAGTGTGTGGCCTCAAATTCTGTAAAAATGTCGCAGCATCAAGGGACCGAACTGATGCTAAGTAGGATGTAATTGGGTGGGGCCGGGTTGAAGTGCTGGATTTGAAATCCAGAACCCTTGTTTATCCAGCAGAAAATGCATACAGAGGCCAAGGTCTCTTGAGCACAAGTGCCGGTATGTCATGTCACTCGTTCAACTTGTCTGATCTGATTTCGGCAACCAGTTTCACCGAAAAGGCAGCTAGCGCTTTTGATAAATGTGCACAGTGCATGATTTGTTATCTGAAACAGAAAGGACTCGGATGAAATCAAGATGTTTCTGCCTCAAAGTTCTACACGGTCCAGGTATAAAAGAAACTCTAAATTTCCAAAATGACATGAGTGGGAAAGGCTGCATGCAGTACACGCACATGTTTTGGTATAACATTGTATGGGAGTGTGCTGAATATTTTTTAAGTTACAGTATTTCGCCTTATTTTGGGGTTGCTTACCGCCACACACTGTTCTGTCAAAGCTACGGGTGAAGAATTGGAGCAAAGCTGACGAATGCGAAGCCCACTGACAAGTGAGCGACGCAGGACTGAGGAAAACGCCAGAGCCATTGTGTTCATAACAGCTCAGCTCACATAGTTACTTGTTCAAAATCATCACACTATTTCTCCACAACCATTTACCAGGCAACAATAAAATGCCCAGCGCTACTAGGCCAGAGTTCGACAAATAAGCCTGTTTTCCAGGCCCAAGGCCCAGGACTAATTAGGTAAGAAGTTGGAAAGGCAATGAAGCTCAACAAGACGACGATGGATGGACAGACTGTGATTGATTCTCTCTCTCTACATGAGCATTATTATTGGTACAGTCATACAGCTACAGATGGTATTGCATCATTTGATTCACGGTTGACATGTTCAAACGTCACGAGGCGGGGATTTCCCCGTTTCAAAGCAAACGGAGAAATGGCGCTACAAAACAAGTACAAAGGAGGACAAACTGGCTCTGATTGTGGCTTGAAACAGAGACAGGTCGATGAAGATCAATATCAAGTCCAACGAATGAAATGATATTGGATGGGGCTTTTTTCAGGGAATTTAGTTTGGATCTGACTCGAATACAACGTATCAGTGAAACTATCACTGTCGACTTTACCTAGTGAGGTGGAAAACAATTGATTCTTGTTTCTGACAATTCGTCATTCTCAGTACTGACGAGCCAGTAATCACTGCAAGCAGTGGTTTTCAACAGCGATGCCACCCAAACGGAAGAAGTTCAACTCTCGCTTTCCTCCGGTATGGACTCGCGCTGGATATGCTTGTGCCACTGCCTGGCTGGAAGCCCTTCGAGTTGCGTGGATTTGTGTCTGTTGTGCTGCAGGCTAGAGTGAAAAAGATTATGCAAACTGACGAAGAAGTGGGGAAAGTAGCAGCGTCAGTGCCCATTCTTGTATGTATCCTCCTTGAAGAAGCAGATGGAAACGTTCTGGCATGTACTTCAGTGGAGAGCTCTCTGAGATAGTACTCTGCTGATGCTGATTACAATCTCTTTAAAAATCACAATAGAGCTGAGCTATTCAACTACTACTGTACTAGTATACAACATGCATACATACACACACACGCGTGCCCGCACACACACACGCACACACACGCGCGCGCACGTTGAGAGTTGAATGTGTAGATGCTGTACCAGTAAGCTGCCAAGAAATTTGGAACATATACCGTGTTTTCTGGGCCCGTAGCTGCACCTGAGGGGGCAAAATGTCATGTTCCAGTTTGAACTTGATTTATGCAAATGGATGGTTGGGAGCCGAAGTGGTGATTTGGCCAAAATATTCGTAAAGTAGGTTGGCTCTGATCCGAAAATGGGGGACATTCAATCGTGGTCTCTGAATCTCTGCCTTTGAGCTACTCTAGCTCTGTAAACCAGCTGTGCGTCAATGCAGCTATCACACGTACAATGACAATGTTTTTGCCTTGACTTGATTCTCACTGGCTTGTAGCCAAAGCAGTGGAGATGTTTATGCAGTCTTTATTGAGTGCAGCAAGTGAGCAGGCGTCCAGTAAGAAAGTCAAGACTATGAGTGCTGTGCACATGTAAGTGTGATGTGTCGTTGAAGTCTTAGATGACATCACCCCTATCAGTGCTTCTAAACGTATTCAGTGGTCTCTCTCTCTCTCTCTCTCTCTCTCTCTCTCTCTCTCTCTCTCTCTCTCTCTCTATGTTATGGTGTTACCCTAGAATGTATATCTATTTTAATTTAAAACTCGGGTATTGAGCCAATAATAAAAGTAGAAAGGAAAAGGACATATGGAAACGAGTTAAGAGTAACTCTCCACCACTGTAACGTGGACGTCAGGACGTCGAATGTCTCAGGCCTCATTTACACGACGATTGAAAAACGTTTTTCAATCGTTTTCAAAACGTTTTTGCTGTTTACACGAAAACGATAATCGTGTACACTGCAACACTTTTTTCGGCGCGCAATGGTCACGTGCAAAAAGTTGGCCTGGCGCAGGCTGGCGGCGGCATGTTTTGAGTACAAGGCTCGTACTACCGTACTGGCAATATATGTTGCCGCAGTGAGGCCATGAAGCGTTACATTGGTACATGTTTGCCGCACGCAGGGCGTTACATGCAAAGTCGCACAGGAGCCGTTACACAGGTTTCTATATTGCCGCAGTCCTTTTTTTTTGCCACGCGGTACACGTGCTTTCACAGTTTTCAGCCTTTGCAGTGCAAACTGCAATGAAAAGATCGCCGCACCCCGCCTGACGCGCGTTACGAACACAACGAAAATTTGTCGCACTAGCCTGGTCGCGCGTTACGCCGCACCCCCCTGCGTTACGCGTTACGCGGCAACATATATTGCCAGTACGGTAGTAAAACGTTTTTGCCGTTTACACGAGAACGAAACGGAACGAAAACGATTGAAAAACACTTTGAGGCCGTTTTTCGTTTGAAACGTTTTTGAAACGTTTTTCAGCGTTGTCGTGTAAACGCTCTTATCTAAATCTGTGGAAGCGTATTCTTTTGAAAACGTTTTTGACAAAAACGTTTTTCAATCGTTGTCGTGTAAACGAGGCCTCAGTACACTGTCAGTTTTGTGCCTAGTTGTTGCACTTTCTGACTGTATATAGTATCTAGTTACAGTGGTGGAGAGTTACTCTTAACTCGTTTCCATATGTCCTTTTCCTTTCTATTTTAATTTACTCCATTCTTCAAGGAATGAGTTGCCCCGGCCCTTGCACAGTGATCTTTATCCAGTGTAAGGGCCATCTCAAGCTTTTACCCAATTGTTTGTACCGTGCAGGAAGATGTGCATTGAGTCGGAGCGACAGTTCGACTTCTTGAAAGACCTCGTCGCCAATGTGTCTGATGTTGCCGCGGAAGATGGTGAGAACCACAGTTCGTCCGGTGCAACCACGGCGCCCGTTCGGAAAAGAAAAGCCAGCTCGAGCACTTCACGTTCCTCGGCTACACAATCGGTATGCTTGGATCCCATCAACAGGGGCTGTGTTTAGTGTGTGCACCGCTTGTCCAGAAGCTTTGGTCCGAATACTACAGTGCCGGAGTGGACAGTGGAATCTGATCAGTCGCTCATTTTCGTGCAACGAGCTGCATTGTGGAGGTGTAGACTAGTAAACTGGGTTGCCCAGCTGCTGCGCAGCTCGTGGTGACCTGCTCTGCTTGGGATTTCACTGGCTGGCACTGTAGCATGGTGTGATTTCTTGTAGCACTGCGAAGTGTTTCACAGTGTTTCAGTGTCAGAGTGTTTCTGCATGGTGTGGAATAGTGTGTGCAGTACAGGACAATGCAGGCGCTCACTATAGATTGTTCTTGCAGAGATTCAGTTGTGTAGTGGGCTGCGTACTTGGTAATTTTGATGACGGTACCGTGTACTGGAACCGTGTAGTGTACTGGAAGTGCGACGTGTGCCTGTGTGATTACGACTGATTGTGTACATTTCCTTTGTTCTCCCGTGTGTCCTATGTTTAGTCCGGAGATCCATCTGCCGCCGAAGATACACACTCTGGCACCTGGTTAGTAAGCAGTTTCCTGCAAAGAAGATGTTGAGTGTTTGTTCAAGGGGGAGGGGGTGCTTCAGTTTCACAGACCTCCACACAATACAGGGGTTTTATATACTAGAGTGTGGTTGTGGTCTTACCATGACTTTTAATGCTTCTGCTGCTTTTGGCCAGATCTGTATTGATGTTAGCTTGCCTTTATGTGTGTTTGTGTGTCTGTGTAGGTCAGTACAAGCGCAGGCTGAATCGAGCACGCCTAAAAAGCGTGGCAAGAGCCGAGCGGCACCACTCAGTCCTAACCTTTCTCCGCCGGCCAAGCAGCCAGACATAGGTAATGCAGATGGTGCTGCGCCTGCATTACCTATGGCGGCCCCTTCGGCTGCGGATGTGTCATCGACAATGTCACCAGCTAGGGCCGGTCTTGCGACAGCGGCAGCATTTGTACCGCCAGCGACCCTGCCCGAGTATGCAACTCCTCTTCTTGGCATATCACAGTTTGGCGCTGCCAGGCCTGATGCGGATGATGATGACGATTACGATGCCTGATCTGGTGTCTGAGATTGCGCCAGTGCCCACGCCCTGCATCCTTCCCAGTCTCTCCCTTTGTTTGGCCAAGCCCACCCATGAGTTACTACAGATACCCATCCCGCTACTAGATTTATCCAATATTGGGCTGCATTGCTGCATTGCCTCCGCCCTGCCAGTCCCCTCCATTCGTCCTGATCCTGCCCTCGGTGTGTGCATGTGTGCGTCTGTGCATGCGCTGTCTTGTTTAGAGTGTGGTGATTTCCTCTATTTTTAGATCTCTTCCCTGTCGCTCTTTTTTTTATATTTCCACGAAGATTGTCCGCCTATAGAACGCAGCGCCAAGGTAGTTGCTGTGCACAGTTGTACATACGAACGTAGTCCTCTTAGGCATAGAGAAACAACTTGCTAATACTGCTCATTTAGGTTGTATATTTTACTTTCCTTCTGTTCTCTCCAACTCTTCTGTACATACTACAATGTCATGTAAGTATCCGGCTTCTCGTCTAGGTCTGCTAGGTTAAAATGGTTGTTTCTTCTGTATTTTGTCATGATCCATGGTTGAATACGCAGCAGTACATTAAAATCCTATTTTTGATTCCGCCACATCCATGTACTTCGAAAAAAAGAAGAAGAAAAAAAAACAGAAAAACTAATAACTATAAACTGCCTGTCACAGTTTTTGAATGCTTGTGCTACTAGTATGTGGTGGCAGTCCAGCCTTTCAAACGGCAAGCAAGGGAAGGATCAGGCTAACGAGAGCAGTCACGGCACTCTGCGGGGACGGCAGTTACCAACTATTGACAAAATCGGCAATCCCCTTCTGGACATGACATGCCGGTACTTCTAATTTGTGAAGTACACCATGGTACACTGTGATCAAGAGAACACCCAGAGGGATGCGGACTCTGCGGACTCTTGCTTTGAGTAGTTCACTTCTCAAAGTGGAGTTCTTCCACACACACATGCACACATCATCTACTTGTACCGTACATACCGGTAGTCACCAGACTAACAAGAGCAATCACATAAATGCTCAATATCAAGAGTACATAAACTCTGCGCTTCGGTCCTCTGAGCTGTGCTGAGCTCTAACACTGAGAGCAAAACAGTTGCTGTCCACAGATTTGAGTATACTCTGTACTATGTACTCTGGTCAATCTACATCTTTCCTATCCAGGCCAACTACTTCGTACAATGTAGTTCAGAGTGTCCATTGCTCGGAGTAGTCTGTAAACATTTGCCTAGTAACAAATTACTTGGAACATGTACCATTATTATACACCATACAGTCATATTTAGGCATGTGCAGCAGGGTGAGTGCAGCAGGGTGAGTGCTTTCGACCAGCATTTGGGCACAGCACACAATCCCACTGAGACCAAAATGCTGCCCAGGCAGACTGAGCTGCTCGTGATTCTGAAGCCCAGAGATAAGAGATAGGCTACCAATTGTTTTGCACTTTTTCAAAACGAAAATATTCAGTATTTTTCAACCCCATCCATCCTTTCTGCAGGTGAACAGATTTTAGCGAAATGTTGACTCCAACCAGCACCGTCAGTTTTAAAACTGTATTTTTGGACATTCCTCATGTTCACACTGCGTAATATCACTATAATTATTATAAATAAAATTAATGATGATTGCATTCACCGCCGTTTCCATGCTTTCCTTGATAAGTTTGCCGTGGTACGCATCCTTTCCAACGGAGAACGTCAGACACCCCATGTATAGGGATGTTAGACTTGCGGTTCTCATTGTACTCAGATTTGCTGTTTCTGACTAGCATCACGTCACTACCAAGGGGATGATTTTGTACGGGAAATTGCACTTGTAACGCGGATTTGTACGTAGTGTGTAACCAACCTAGGAGCGAGACACATGTACATATGTATTACTGAACAACAAGGACAATCAAGGCTTGTTTGCTGCCACTTCAAGTTTCATGCTCTCGCAATCATCAGGCAACAACGCGTGTATTATTATCATGAGCTATAACTCACAACGCCTGGTCATAGCCCCTACATTCGGAGATAATCCCATTAGGCCGAGTAAAAAAAATTACTAGATGATCGTCCTTTTTTTTGGAAAAATCGGGGAGGGCGGGAGGATTTTATTTTTATTTTTTTACTTTTTACCCTCTCATGCACACAGTGTACACAACAACATCAAGGTTTTTTTTCTCTTTTTTTCTTTTTTTTTCTTTTTTTCTTTTTCTTTCTTCAGCAGATCGATACTGACGTTGTGATATACTAGTAGTATGTGGTCCATATAGTAAAGAAAGTATTAAACAAAGCGTGCACATGTTTCCTGCATCCGCGATCGGTAAAAAACCAACGATTTCGGCAAAAACTCACGATTTAAAAAATAAAATATTTCTTGGGGCGCTGACAAAAACTGGGGCGGACGGGGACGATCATCTAGCTTTTTTTTTTACTTGGCCTTACATCTATAATTTGGGGAGGCGGGAATCTTTCTGTACAGTTCTATGTTTCATCACCCATGAGCCGCGCACTTCGACAACATAGACACACTGTTTTCGCAATTTCCAACAGTCTTCCGTGGCCAGACTGATGGCTCACAATTCCTCCACCAGGTTGTCAGAGCTGGCAGCCAGCATTATGATGCTTAGGGCACGTTCAGACTACCGAGAACCCGTTCAAACCGTGAATGGCGATAAACCGTGAAGGACATTCGCACTACCGATAAACTAACGTTGCCGTTACGTAAGTTGTGCAGCTCTCGCCGCGGCACTGAGAAGGGATTTTCCCTTACTCCAAAACTGAACACCTTTTTTACTACCGGAATGCTGTTCCCGCCGCAGCAGCCGCGGCAGTGAAACCTTTCCGGCGGTAACGTGCCAGTAACGTCACATGATCACCATGGACACTTTCCCATTCCGTCACTTTTTATCGGTAGTCGGAACGCGCCCTTAGAAGGCACTTGTACTAGTTGTAGACAGCCATATACACAGCCATATACACAGCCACGTACTGTCGTGGACATGGAAATCCGGTCGCATGTCTAGCGGCTCCAGGGCGCTGGCCATGCAGCCGTGGATAAAGCGGAACATGCATCGCGCTGGCCGCATGGGATCAACATGACTTTGTGCACTGCATGCAGCGTTCTGTACGCGCTGAGGGCGCCGGCCCCGGTCAATCGACTGGATTTCCATGTCCACGACAGTACAATCATGTACACGTCCATGTACACACATGTCGCAATCAAACAGCTACAAAAGCCTTGAGGCAAAATCTCACTAATTGTATTTACACACGAAGAGTCATAAGTAAAACTCATTATAATCTATTCAACTCCTATGTACAAAATGCGGGCTGGAATACAGACAGCAGCAGTATTCTCCTACAGGGCTGTTTCGACCTTGACGGCATCAGCGCGAAGCAGCTTCTTGGCAAATTGGTCAGTGCCTCGATGGTTGATGAATGCCAGGCGCCTCTTCTCATGCCACTGCGATATGTAATCAAAGCGGTGAACACGCGGGTCCTTGGCAAACGAGACCTCGTCTGGCTTGGTGATTCGCTCCTGTGATAGGTTTTCTGGCAAGGGTCGGTGCTCCTGGTTCTGCTCATGTGCATCCTGATAACAAATAGATGTACACAAATAAGCAAAGACAGTCAGTGATAAAACTGCAAGAAATATCTTGCATCAATCGTGAAACCTACCGTACGAATCACGAAGGCCGTAAGGGTGGCACATAATGGGTTTTCACTGCATGCAATATTGTATATTTGTTTGCGCATCTTTGATAATGATTCCGCTCGGGCAGTCTGCAAGTCTCCACCGTGGACCAGCACTGTTCCCCTGCTAAATCAAATGCATGTTGCATCGTATGTGATCTACAGGTTTCTGTGCACTTGAATATGTTTTGTTTCATCTGGCAATGCTTGCATGATGCATGTAGCAGCCTATTTCAGTCCTTTTTTGCTGTCAAGCCCTCCAGGGAGAGAGAGGGAGAGAGAGAGAGAGAGAAAGAGAGAGAGAAAGAGAGAGAGAGAGAGAGAGAAAGAGAGAAACCATAGATCACAATTGGACTAACCCTATATATTTTCAGCAGTGGTTGCGGGACATTGTCTTCATCCACCAAATAGCCACGGTACATTGGGTTGCAATAGTACTCCACTACGTCACGATGCTTCGGTAAAGCGGGCTCTGCTGTTTGTTTGTGCACAAACTCTCTTGGTGTAGACATATAAGACAGCTCTTCCCTGGTATAATATCGACACTGGATCTTTCCACCGTACTGTTCCACCAGTTTGATTACCTCCAGGTCAGCTTCAGTCACAACAATGTTGATCTTTGAGCAGAAATGAGGCTTTTCCTGAGAGACAAGACGAGCAAAAATACAGAAGGATATAAACACACACAACCAGTACTGCACATTCAGTGGGCACGAGTGAGTTGCACCACGCCATTTATGTCAGATAGGTACGCACCCTGGAGTTACTTTTCAATCGCCATTTTTTCTAGGCCAAGAAGGTAACGGCAGCGATGCGAACAAAAGTGATCGTTTGATTCTAGGGGAGCCAATGGATCTGGATCTGGATCAGACCAGACAATCACAGCCTAAGCCAAATGTCATGTTTGCTTAAAGGGGAACTGTCACCAAAAAAATTCTTTGTCTTATCTTGTAGTTCCTTGGCTCCTGATCACGATGGTGTTATCCGTTTTTCTCTGCGATGGCTGGAAGTGGGTGAAAACTTGAAAAGAACGTGCCCAAAATTGTCCCCAAGTACCGAGTGACGTCACGCCGGACTTGACCTCCACGCGTACATTCGTCGTCAAAAACGAAGTTCAGCCCGTGTTAACATGTTCTGATCGATCGAGCCAACTGTTCAATATTGCAGTGTACGGTGCACGCTTGCCTTCTGAACTCGGACACTGATGTGTACGTTGTACACAATGAGAATGCCAAAGAGGCAGAGACCCACGTGCAGCTACACAGCCAAATCAAAATAAAAAGCAGCTGAGCTTTCACATTTTTGACTTCTTCCGCGAGGATCTAAGTTTTATTTTGTGAGCACGGAAGTACGTCGTTGTTTTGAACTTTTCGTGTGAGGAACAACACGATGATGAGCGCGTATGCAGAAAACAGTACTCCTCCGGCCGGCGATAACACCACCAACCCGAGCCCCAAAGGAACGCAATGTAGCTACGTCAAGGCGATTCATCTGGCGAAGTTGCTCAAGATGCAGATGACAAACTCCGACGTCTTTCATTTCAGAGCCGAGTGGGCAACACCACCACCTTCGATACAACGGCATAATTTTCAAGTACGAGGTATGTGTTTCACACTAACAGCAAACAAACATCCTTCCACTCCTTCGTAATCACAAATAAAACAAAGAGCTGGAGCTTCGTGGAGGAAGTACCAGTGAGACAAACTTCTGTCGACTTTTGTTTGTTTTGTCCTTTTTTGGCGTTCTCATTGTGTACAACGTACACATCAGTGTCCGAGTTCAGAAGGCAAGCGTGCACCGTACATCGAACAGTTGGCTCGATCGACCAGCACACGGGCTGGACTTCGTTTTTGACGATGAATGTACGCGTGGAGGTCAAGTCCGGCGTGACGTCACTCGGTACTTCGGGACAATTTTGGGGACCTTCTTTTCAAGTTTTCACCCACTTCCAGTCATCGCAGAGAAAAACGAATAACACCATCGTGATCAGGAGCCAAAGAACTACAAGATAAGACAAAGAAAATTTTTGGTGACAGTTCCCCTTTAACCCTTTACCATCCGTGCGTACTTGAATCGATCTCTAGAGATCGATGGACATGCATACACTAAAACATTCGTAACTCGATCGATTCTAGTCGGAATTTAAAGAACTAAGTATCTAGGAAGAAGCCGAAGAGCCCAGCTTTCCATTGCATCAATCGGTAAAGAGCTGCGATGTCGCATTCCAAAGATATTTCGCTCGACATTTCAGCTACGGCAAAAGTCGAATTTCTTTCCGAGTGACTGACCTTGAGCGGGGATTTTCCCCTCTGCTGACATGCTGAGTCACTTTGTCTTTGGCATGCTTCGAGCACGTGGGCAGCATAAAAAGAAACTCAAGCAAAAAATTTGGAATGTTTACGATGAAGGAGCGAGAAATGGCTGGCGAGGAGAGAATTTCCTCGTATATACAGCGATGGGGTGTATTCGAAGCTCCCTGGCGCTGGATATGTGATCTCAGCAGTGTCCTGTTTGAGCTCAATGTCCGCAGCTCGTGGAGAGCTTTCCAGAATGCCCAAGATTGTGAAAAATGGTTGATTAGAACCGAAGATATTCTCAGAATAAGGTGAGAATTATTGCATTTGGGACTGCTGGGGAAATTTGGTCGGATGGTAAAGGGTTAACCCTTTTATTACCGGCCTGCAGACTTTCGATCATATATGATCGAAAGTCTGCAGGGCAGTAATATCTTCATAACTCGATCATTTCTTGTGCGAATTCAACAATCGAAAGGTCTATTTGGTAGCGGAAACTCCAAGCTATCCAATGCAACAATCGCCGAAGAGTTACGATGTCGGACACCAGAGTTATCGCGTGCCGTATTCTCACCTCGGCAAATTCAATTTTTTGATCGATCACTTCGCCATTTTTTGGGAAAATCCCTTTTCGTGCGCTCTTTGCGCGACTAAGCACATGATAATGACGTAGTCAGCTGAAGTTTGAATCGTCTCAAAAAAATTTGAGCGTTCTGCGATGAAGGAGAGTGGAATGGCGTTGATGGGACGAATTTGCTTGCATATCGGGCTTGGAGACGACTTTGCTATGTTACCGCGCCTGATCTGTGGCGACTGGAAAATGGAGCTTGGTACCCTGGCGTTGCTCTCGCCAAGAGCTTTCCAACGAGCCCTAGATTGTGAAAATCAAGTGAAGGAGACCAAAGTTATGACCTGGTGAAGTTGGAAATTGTGCTGAAATTCGTAATCCTGGTGCATGCTGTGCAAGTAATCCGGTAATAAAGGGTTAACTCTCACAATGAACCAGCATAGCAGTCTACTACTTTAGTACCTATGTGCACGTAATGCATGCTTCTTGGACAGGGGGAACAAGGGTGCTGGTGAGTTGAACCATGCATTTCTACAGTGGCGCCCTTAATTGTGAAATGGGCGGCCCAAACTTGAAGAGGGCGCAGCGTCAAGCTATGTTGCTTTGGCAATAACCCTGTCAAGGCATGCTACGAACTTAAAAGCCACTCTCGGAATTCTGGCCTAGAGGGGGCGCCGCTTTACATTCAGGCCTGTGTGGTATTTTGATGACTGTGCCAACGCATTGAAAAAGAGTCAATGCTTTATTTATGGGTTATTGGGACCCAGTTGGCTATAGGGTGAGGCACCCTGCACATCGCTCAGCAGGGTTATATTATTAGTAGAAGCACTACGAGTGCTGACTGACTTCTGACACCAGCCATCAGTCTGAGAGAGAGAGAGAGAGAGAGAGAGAGAGAGAGAGAGAGAGAGTGAGTGAAAAAGAGAGAGTGAAAGAGAAAGAGAGAGAGAGAGAGAGAGAGAGAGAGAGAGAGAGAGAGAGAGAGAGAGAGAGAGAGAGTGCATATAGCATACTTACAGATGCAACCAGCTTGACACCATCCTCACAGGACTCTATCAACTTGGCTCGCACAAGCAGTGACATATCAATTGGCCTGTCAGGATCCAAGGATCCATTTTCAATCCACTTCTGAATGTGATCAAGTGTAACTTCTGATGGCAGTGGTTCAAGCAGATTTCTGTATCAGCCAGAACGATCACAAAGCAGAAGGGGATCTAAGACGAGCTACACAGCATGTAACTGTACATACAACAACCCCCCCCCCCCCCCCACACACACACACGGTGTCGGGAATGGGCTCAGATACAACTCCTGCAGCACTTTGAAGAGAAATTATGAACCCCAGCATGATGACATCATCTTTTCTGACCTCATTATCACTTCCAAGAAGAGGCAGTTTGCTAAAAAGATTCTCGCTCTGTAAGGGACTATTCAGTTTCAGAAAATGAAGCGAATCAACTGAAAGTTGAGGACAGCATGCCTCTTGGGAAACGGTACTTTGTTAGTGCGTGTGATTCCTTTTTCAGTTTCCTTGTCAAGGATGCGGTGGGCTTGACAAGGTCAAGATCTCAGTGTCCTGTCTGCTAAATAGGGAAGGATAGGTTTTACTGCATGTCCATTCGAAACCAACCTTTAAACCAAGGCCACTGCATGCAGCTCTTGCCCCCACCCCATCAACACTAGTATGATATCGAAGTAGGAACACAAGAAACACTCACACATTGGATAACTTGTGCTTTCGGAACACCCGATAGAAGGGCACTTGTCCACCATGTGTCATGTGACGAATCTGGTAACTCTTATGTTTTTGAGAGCCCGACATTCCTCGGCCACAACTGTTTCCACGACTACCAGGCCCTCGGCCTCGGACGATTTTCTAAGCAGAGCAGAAAGGTAAGAAAAATATGCACACCACAAAACTCAACACGATCCATTCGCATGAGGCTCTTAGCTTTGTACAATAGAAGAAGTTCCTCAATTGCAAGTTTACTTGTAGTACTGTAGTCGTGTACTTGAATGACTTTTGAAGGGTAAGTTATTTTTTCTGTTCTCAACTTCCAATCATGCAAAGAAAGGCCTGGAGCCCGATTCCAAGTGGTGTGTGTTTGTGTGTGTATGTGTGGGGGGGGGGGGGGTAAGTCGTATTGCCTTTTCCGTCAATAGCTGCGCATCACCACATTATACCTGTTATACATTGCACATCCCCCCCCCCCCCCCAATACACACAGGGAAATGATGAAATAATAGTAGATTATACTACTTGAGAAGCACTAAAGCGTACACGTCTAATGCTGCACGACCAGCCTGTATACTATATGTTCCCATGGATTGCGCGATTATGCGGCCACGCAATTTATCTTGCACAATTAAACTTGAATTTTATCTTAACAACTTCTGCGCTGGCGGCGCATAATCCTTGATTTTTCAGCGGACATCACAGTGAGGAAAGTCTGCACAATCACCAGCGTGCGTATTTCCGGTTGCAGTCCGTGCATAGAACTGATCGACATGCGGTGTGTACAGTGGTGTACCGGTATGCAGACTACTCGTACATACATGTAGGTCGGGTTCAAGGCTACATGATTGTGCGATGTACAGTGCAGATCGACTACATGTACATGTAACAGCTTGTTGGTTGACAGCATGCTACAGGACCACCGTGTTCGGAAACAGTGACCTTACTACAATCATCCACAATTAGTAGAGCCCCGGTCTTGCGACCATCCAAACCGTATGGGTGTTAGCCCTGGTTCTGGCCCTCATTATAAAAGACCGGGGCTCTGCCAACCGTGGATGGTTGTAGCATACCTGCCAAGTATCCAGATTTTTCGGGATTATCCCGCAATTTTGGATGAACCCCCGCGATCCCGAAATTCCTGTCGATTATCCCGAAATTCACTGCGCAAGAAGCAAGCTTGATATTGTACTTGGAGCACTTCACATGACTTGTCACAGGCCAGTAGTTGTCCTTATTGACTCCGGACCACCATAGCCTGCAGTACCAGTGCTCCTTCCATAGACAGTCCCTGAAAAACCTCCATTTTTGAGTCTTGAACATGCGTAAGTGTGATCCAACGATCACCATTAATCATCTATTATCGAAATGTTGGTGCCATCAAAAGTTGAAAAAGGATTTGTTTTGGAAAAAATACGACATATCCCGAAAAACCAAGGCAAATCCCGGGATTTTGCCATGGCGATCCAGAAAAAGCACTCTCAGTACTTGGCAGGTATGTTGTAGTAAGGTCACTGTTTCCGAACACAGTGGTCCTCCGCCTGTAACATGCTGTCACCCAACAACATGTTTTCAACAAAACAGGGTTTATCTAATACCATGTAACAGCTTGCACCAGCATGCACGTAGAGCTACAGGCATGCTAGCAGTATTGTAACCATGGTAATGTCCAGGACTACATGGTAGATGATGTGCCAAGACAAGACTATGCGTGGAATAGACTATCAGCAGCAGCGAGTCGTGGGATATCGCTACTCCCTGGTCTGAAGAAATGAGTTCTCGTGTATGCGCATGCTATGGATAAGTCCCGCGCAATGCATTTCGTGCGTAATAACGCATGATTCTTGCATGATACACGATTTTGCGGTGATTTATGCACACCATGTGACAGTTTTGTCGGCGCAATTCACGAGGGATAGCCGATGTACACAGACTCTCTCCATCAACGTGACATGTGCCATAGTGAATGTTGTGAGGGGTACATTTGTGCACTCATTGCGACTACTTCTGTTGAAAAACTTGAAATAGATGTAAAAGAATTTCAAAGAAATGAAACTTCACTATACTCAACTCGCGTTAGCCAAATTTGAAAACATTTGCATTTTGCACCGAGCATGAAACTATCATTCTAACTAATGTCAACAATATGGACATGGAACTTGGAAGGAATTATGGCGTATGAGCATACAATTATGATGCCCTTACTTTGAACCTTCCATCGAAGTCAAATAGCAACCTGGGGCCCATATCCAAAGCGCCTCTCAGGAGCTTGGCACATTCTTTGTACCGCTTGAGTTCAACGGGATGCTTCATCTTGAAGCGAGGCGCCCGTACACCTCCTCCAACACACCACTGGCGAGGGTTTGACGAACAAATCACTGCCTGAACTCACTAGTTGCACTGAAACAATTCCTACTTTTACTATGAATGTACAACGTCATTAGTGTAATGATTATGTAAAATTCAAAAAAACCATGTGCAGGATGCACGCACGCAGACATCAAAATACTGTAATGACGACAAGGATGATGTCACTTGCACAAGTCGTACATATTTTTACGACTCCTTTTATCAAACCTTTTTTTGTATAGTTATTTTTTTATGGCCATAATTATAATAATTACCGGTAGTATATCCATGATCCAGAGCAGCATTTTATGCTATCAAGACCAAGAGCAGGTAGACTCTGGTGCTTTGTGTACTCTGTTGCAGCATGCAGGTAGACGGCGCGGTGACAAGGTGCCTACTCTTGGGGTACTAGCCTAGGGCTAGGAGGTGCTTCTTCTAGTCACAGGTGCATAGAATTGTTTCGTTAGCTCCATATGGGCCATATCTAGGCTTGGATATTGCTAGGGTTTTTATTAGCAGGGGAAACTGGGAAATACAAAACCATTTTTTGAAGAGGCTAAATCCTATCTAATTATAGGATTTTGAAAATTCTGGACACCTTTGCACGAGAGGGCCTGTTACAGAAAAAGTAAAGCCCTTGTGCTGGTGAAACTTGGTAGACATCATCTCTGATAAACATGGAATGCAGACTCCAACAGGTTTTGAAGAAAGAACTATACTTTGTATTAAAGGTGTGATCTACCCTTTCCCAAAAATTGGGAAAATCCTATATATAGGATTTGACAGACAAAGAGATACTCGTACAGGCACACAATCAGACACATGCACATGCCACCCGCACAAACACAAATGTCGTAGTGTTGCACACACTGGCACGTGGGTACACAGAGTTTTCAGTTACTAGTATTGCTCGCAAAGACAGCACCAGTGATGACGCCAGATGATCTTAAATGGTAAGCGTAAAAAAAGTAGAATTGCTCTGCAAACAGATCTGATGGTGTGATCCAACATAAGAGGACATCCACAGAGGATGAGAAATCAGTTGCGGTCATTTCGGCGATCGTTGCGACGGTCACTCTGCCTGTCACCCTGACGATTGTGTCGGTCTCCGTGTCGGTCTCCGTGGCGATCTCCATGGTGATGGCGGTCCCCGTGGTGATGACGGTCTCCATGATGGCGATCATTGTGGTGGCGATCTCCGTGATGACGATCATTGTGGTGGCGATCACCATGGTGGCGGTCGCCACCATGGTGACCTCCTCGGTTGTGACCTCCTCGTCTGCCACGATGACCTGGATAAGACAAACAACACAGGGTAGACCAATCCATCAAGCACAAAGGTCACACAAAGCAGTTACCGTTATGGAAAAGTAACGTTAGGGGCGAAACGATTACAGTTTAGCCATTTCAGTAACCAATGTGCCCCCCCCCCATCCCAACACGCACTGGACAAAAAACTGAGGAGCAAATCTGCGTACACAACAAACACACCACCGGCAACACAGCCAAACCACTCACCTCCCCATTCACCTTCATTACGCTGCCACTTGCCACCTACACAACAGACATACAATAAAACCGACTGAGACCACATTTCTCTGATTTCGGCAACATACATGTACCCATATACATCAGTTTCTCAGGCTGCACAGATGTTTAACCATGCATACAGAGATTGTCTCCAGAGGGTTGCACTGCAACAACTGCAAGTTGCCGTATTCATCAGAAGTGGTGAACCTCTCATCCACCATGTTGTGCGACTCTGATGGACTGTGCTATCTAAAACAGTGCACGCTATGTTATGTGTAGACAGAAGATCATTAGACCCACGATTGCCATGGCACGTGATTGGTATCCCCAGAGCCTAGTCACAACACACACCACACACACACACCTCAGGCATGCCCATCGCGGAAGCGATGATAGCGAACAGCTATGTTAGACATAGCAACTTTTCTTTCATTCTCCTGGGTGGTTACCAACACACACACACACACACACACACACACACACACACACACACACACACACACACCACGCATACCTTGCTGACGTCCCCAGTACATATCACCAGTACGGGCGTTGTACAGCTTGTCGTTGTTATCAAACAGCACTCCAATCTTCTCGGCCAGCTGGAGAGCGAGGCTCTGCTGGCGCGTAGGTTCGGCACGCTGCGTGACAATGACGGAGCTGGGCTCGTCCAGGACGGCGTGCAGGTCCTCATTCATAATCATCTTGCTGACAACACTGTGCACGGTGCTTTGCGACAGCTCAAACATCTCGCGCAGAGTGACCAGGCTGCAACACAAACAACACGACATATCTGAATATCTGCGATACACTGTATATGCAAGTTGAATAGACTGCTGGGAAACCATAGCCTGATCTGCAAATAGCAACACAATGGAATCACAATGATTCCTCAAGCTATGAATTTGTTGGGTGAGTACATCGTAGAAGCATTAACGTTACAATACAAAAGGCTCATCTCATGAAGTTGAAGGCACGGAAAGGATTCCCAAAACATGGACTATAGAGACGAAGAATAGAAACATAAATCGTTGACAGCTGGTTCATTTACCCGAGAGAGTCGAAGACATTGCTGTAGGAGAACAGGTATGTGCGCAGTGTCTCCTCCTTGATTTTCCTGATGAGAAACCACAAAGAAAGAATCCAGACAACGTTAGATTGCAATACATGTACAGTGCGCATCGGTTATAGTGTGGTCGTGTAAAAGAATATACTGCCTACAACAATGAACTCTCATACTGTATACTAGTAAGCAGAAATATTCGTCTGGAATTTCATTTAGTCTTTTTCGTCGAAGGAGCTTTTTGGACTAAATCAAATGCCGGCCTAATGTCAATTTTCCAGCTTTTACACTCGTATGATCCTCGGACGAAATTTACAACCGAACGAACTCCCTTTCTTTGGAGTTGGACAAATTATTGACCGACGAAATGTTCTGCCTGTACAGCAAGTTCCGGCATGATTGACTCAGAGGACTCTCTTCTGCCAATAAGATAACCTGCTAACAAAAGAAAATAACCAAGAGTGCGCAACTCCTATCTTGAGCCGTAATGGGTGAACTCTGGCTACGCATGATGGCATCAGTGAGTCAAACACCCGCGAAACACTGAGGTCAAGAAAAACCATGGGCTGGAGGAGGCTCGAGTTGCAAACTCCTGGTCATGTAAACTTGCTGTCAGAAAAAATCAACTCTCCTGCATCTTACTTGCAACAGCAACCCTTGTGAGATTTAAACTTGAATTCAGCTCTCAAACTTCACCTTCAAAGACATATCCATACTTTCGAATTTACACACCAGCCCCCAGAACAAGTGTGTACTGCCTAATCACAGTTGGTTGAATTGTTTATGGCTGCACAAGGTGTGTGGTAGCTGAGGACAGCGTTCTCAAAGACCGGGTGTTTATGGCTGCTCAAGGTGTGTGGTAGCTGAGGACAGCGTTCTCAAAGACAGGGGTACAGTATAGAGAAAGGACGCACTTCCACTTCAACTAGGCAGTACAGATAAGTAGCACTATGAGCATGAGCAAAAGGTCCCAAGGCGGGAGGCACTGCAATGGAACGTTATCATAATACCTTACATTTAACACAGCAATAGCCATTAGAGATACGAGCAGTCATTGAGACAACCAGGTGTAGCATGCTAACAAATGCACCAGGATAATGCGTGCAACAGGGGAACTTACTTGACAAGCATGTCCTTGACATCAGTCACATCCCTGAAAAGGTCCCAAGACTGCAATGGGGCAGAGAGGACAGAACACAGAGAACGAAATGCAAGTAAATTAGTTCACCAGTCACGATTGAAATCACCAGCCAGATTAGAACATAAGCAATGCCACAAATCTTGTCGTAAGGTACAACTAGGAAATCCAGAAACACTCCAATTCAATTTTCTACGCTTAGGATTTAGTGGTACGAAAATTCATACAGAGAAATCAGCATTAACAGATCAAATAAATGAATTTTCGTGACAAAGGCATCAGGCCCAACGCAATATCAACTGGAATTCCAAAACACATTGATGGCAAAGTGAAAAAGAAGAGAGGAAAAGACAGGTCCCGAACCTTGATGGCTAGCATGAAGTCTTTGCAGGCTCTCCAGTCACCGATCTTCATTGCGTGAGATGCAGCCACTACATGCTCACGCATGGTCTCCGGTGGACCTGTGTGCAAGGAAAGCCAACAATCATTCCAAACAGAAAATAAAGAACCCTACAAGAAGGGCACTGGTGCATAGATGCCACATCTAGTCCAAATTTGAAGAGGAGAATTGGTGACATAGGAACTGACAAGATACATCCAGCGACAAAACTGGTACAGCCGTATACCCGGGCACGTATCAAGCAAAATAGAACCTTGAAGTGGGCAGTGATCGAAAAGAACGGGTGCAAAAAGCATTATGAAGCTACACACTCACCGACGAGTGGCTGGCGTTCAGACTGACGGAGCTGATGATGGAACGATTTGCTCTGAATACGCTTCTTCAGATTGTGTTCATTTGCTACACACAGCAAATTCACAACACACGCAACATATTAGAACACCTTCTATATAATTATGCCAGAGGCACAAGTTGTGGAACCAGATGCGCCGTTACTTCATGTGATCTCAGATAAGCATGTGATGTAAAAGCAAGGCACACCCACACACACTTACACCCACATAGTATGTCACGCAATTTACACTCATTGCCGTGCAGCAAGGATAATATTTTGCATCCATCTATCTTACACAAGGATACCATGATAGAGCACTCTCTTACCTGCCATGTATGGAATTTCCAAAAGCATGGAGGACGAAAGGTAGACACACTCCAGCAGCTCAAGGTTGATGTGCATGTGGAAGGGGATCTGGAACAGAAAGAGAAATGAGAGGATTATGCAGGAGTTACAATGCACAGAGTGCGAAACACCTACGAGACAAGAAGTGACAGTGCATTCAACTAAGATCACATTGAAATCATCTCCAGTCCTAGTAGAGCCAATCCATATTCACGTGAGCACCCCGCCACCACTTTCCGCATTCATTCGGGAGCATAGTGGACTTGGTAAAAAAAACCTATATTTTGCTGCTACACTGCATGAAAAGGCACCTACATTTTCGCTATTTGGAAAAGGGCAAACATATTAAGGGGCTTCCATGTGTACACGGCTGTCAAGAAGCGGCAACTTAGAAAGATGGCGTCGGTTCGAGATGGCATGGTAACCGCGCACGTGCCGTGGTCCGTGACTTGCTCATGTATGCACGCAAATGCAAGTCACAAACTCACAAAGATCGTCTTTGCATTTGGAGAAAATATCTTCGACTCTCTTTGGAGGTTGGCGAGGTTTGCCTAATCTTTACTTGATTGCGATGCCGGTATGTCCTCTCAATAATTAGAACAAAGAGAGCTGATGATCGCTTCATTGCTGAGCAGAAGTAACAATCAACTCTCCTCATGTCCTCAGTGCCAAAGGCAGACGACTGCAATTCCACAACGCTCATTTCACGATGATGGAAACAATAATCGTGTACTAGTACACACTTGGACCATTTGGTCATCCCTATTCTAGCCGCTAGTCCGTCCAGAAAGCAGATATTGACTATTACGATAAGTACAACTGCGTGAACGAGGGCTCAAACAGCAAATTCAATTCAAGACGTGACTCCAGTCAAGAATTAGGGTCTTTACTCGAGAACTTCACAAATACAGGTCAAGGCACCCCACAAAACTGATAGATGGCACGAACGAAAGACAAATAGGCCAGACAAAGTGTCCCAAGTGATTGAAAACAGCAAATCTACCAAATAAGACAGCTACATGTGCCTAAACAACGATTCCCATACAGTAGAGAGTAGTATCAGGCAGAATGAAAGCCTTGGAAGTGCACAAATACAGCCACGACCGCCACAAAAATTGGACGACCGCCACAAAAAAATTCTCATTGCTCTACCTCCTTGAAGGGTGAAAGTTACCAGTTATCCTATAGCGATGTCAGTTTATGCCTGTTGGAACCCCCCACAGCCCGCACGAAATACCTTTCAAATAATTCCAGGATGCAATTGCAGCTCCAGACAGGAGGAAGAAGAACACCGTGAAAAATAACGACAACGATGCCCAAACTCTCGGGAAACGTCTGAAGTCTTCCTGAAGATGTTAACATTGAATAGCCATCGAATACCAGCGTGGTTTGGTGACTTTAGAACTGTTTTGAGACTTAGAACGAAGCGATATCTCAAATTTGATGGAATTGTTACCTGTCAAATGCGTGGGCGAGCAGGCCAGCTGACTGGTTATGCATGAACATGCATGAGCATGCATTGATTTTTCATGGTTCACGTGCAGAAAACTAAGTTGCCGCGATCCAAGTGCAGCTAACAGCCGTGGTGTAGGGTGTGTGCATGATAAATGTTTCTCATGGGGTTGATCAAACAAACCAACGAAATGGTATGCCATACTCAGCACTTACAAGACGCATCTTCTCAATCTTCTCCTGTTCCGGTGAGCGCTCATTGTGTCGTTGTGTCAGAAGTCCCTGGAAAGATGATAAAACATAGAGATCAGAGAATGCAGCAGTAGCAGAGTAACAACACGACCGGGGTGGAATGGAATACACCAAACAGCAGACTCGGACCAGAAAACGCCTACTACTACAGTACTGGCAACTGAAATCCGACCCCGGAGCGGTGCGCTCACAACGCAAAGACCCAACACGGGATGGCAAAACTACGAAACAGAGACCGCTAGAATTTGGACGCACAGCTAACTGTTAAGGGGTCGGATTTCTGTTGCCAGCACTGTACATGAATGCACCAGGTATGATGATGAGAACACAGCAAGGCAGAGGACACACTGTATAGAAAACAATGTTCCTGACTGCAGCCAGAGACCGGTTGGGAGAGCCCGGGTCTTGAGACCATATGAACCGTATGGGGTTGTGCTGTTATTATCATACCTGGTAAACTATCAAGCAAGGCTTACATATACCACGTATGTACCAGTACGTTGTTGATACCACAAACACACACTCACACGTACTGCACAAGGGAATAGATCAAAGAAACACAACTAAGAAACACTTGAAAAACAGCAGCGTCAAGAAAGACGCATCTTACCTGTGCAAGCAGTTCCTTTGCTCGACCACTGCTTTGCAGATCATTCAGAGCGGTATGGGCATCACGGATCATGCCATGGCGGAAAGCACATAGACCAAGCTGGGCGAGAGTACGGTTGTACAGAATCTGGGCAAATGGTGGGAATTAGAACAAAAGAATGCACCATGACCAGACATCACACCAAGTACACAGGACAAGGGTAGTAAAAAAGCAGTGACAATGCATTTACTGCTACTGAAGGAAAAAAAAGAGTCACGTCAAGATGAAAATGTTGCCTCACCTGTGTTGGGACATCGCTATGGCTGATGTTCTCCTGCAGATGAGACATGAGCAGGTAGTCACGTGCCTCGAAGAAGCGGTCATGCAGCGCATAGTAGTAGACATGTGACAGGACGGTCCTGGTGCGCGTACGGTCGGGCACTTCGTTCGAGTAAATGAAGCTGCACATGTCTTCCAGTTTGGTCTTGACAGACTTGTCGGCGCGTGTGGCGCTGGCGGTAGGGTCAAACTGTACACCAAACACATACAGACAAGCACGCACACGCACAAAAACAAGCAAACACATTTTTCAAGTCCGGTCCGGGTCACTACTAGAAACAGAAACAGTCATGTGATCTGCTTAGGGGACAGTAGAGAACCAGGAGTAAAAAAAGATGGCTAGACCCCCTCCTGTTCTACGTTTACAGTAGCCCGGTACGACAAACAAGTCTCTCCACCCTAAGTTAGTACAGTACCTACCTTATAGTAGAGATGATCGATTTGGCGCATGCAGATGCTACACAGCTCGGCCGACGTAGCATCAGTGTCCAGCAAGTGCTGGTGGACACGCTCGATCAGGGTGCAGAGGGAACGCTCGGCACCGAGTCTAGGGAAGCACAAGAAAACAGGAAAACACGCACACACAGAGTGAGTCTACAGATACGGAGATGAAACCAGGAAAATACAACTAAGAAGACCAGTCACATTTAGTCACTAACCTAGACATGACTGTGATGATTTGCGTTGCCAAATTTAGTCCAAACTCAGTAAGCAAGTACTGGCAGCCCTTCGAGCCTCACCCCCCCTTCCCCCCCCCCCCCCCCCCCCACACACACACACAACCACGGACAAGAAAAAAAGGCACATACCTCTCAACATAGTCAGTTGAATGGGCATCAGTGTTTTGCAACACCTTGACGAATTCCTCATCGAGTCTCTCTGTAATAGTCAGGAAACTGCCACGCACCTTCAATTCATCACCCTCCTGAAAAGGGAATAAGAAAGGAAAGGATTGATCAATACATTTACAAACACGAAAGGCACGGGCCTCAAACAGAACTGTTAATGGCTCACAAGTTCAGGTACTAGGTACCATATACCGGATTAAGGTGGCTGGGGCGGTACAACTTTTTAGGGGTCATTTTGATTACATTTTGACTGCATTTTTGAGTTTATCGGCAAGGTGGAGATGAAATTTGAAAATGTTTTCTGGTGAATCTCTGCAGAAGAGCCTTCTCTAGCTTCCTATAGTTTTATTTTTACTTTTGGACAAAATTTGAAAAAGTTTTATGAAAGGTCCGTGAAAAAATAACACGAACCTTTCATAAAACGTTTTCAAATTTTGTCCAAAAGTAAAAATAAAACTATAGAAAGCTAGAGAAAGCTATTCTCCAGAGATTCACCAGAAAACATTTTCAAATTTCATCTCTGCCTTGCCGATAAACTCCAAAATGCAGTCAAAAATTTCCCAAAAAAGTTGTACCGCCCCAGCCACCTCAATTCATATTCAGACCACACTATATATTAATCCGTGGGGTCATGGAAAGTACATCTTGCGTGCATAACGTTACAAAGTGATGGTTACAGCCGAAAGTGACGTAGTTCTGAAAAGGAGTATGACGGAAACATATGCAGCGTTGCACACCCTTGGGAGAAAGGCATTCTTGGCGGCAAGGAGAAGGTACCACAGACAGGGTGCTGGCGACTTACGAAGCTCTCCTCATCCTCAGCGATCAATTCACTGACAACCACGGTGCAAGTGGCCATGCGGTCCAGCAGACTGTTGATGTACTGCATGCAGTCCAGCCAAAGTTCTATCTTCATGGAGTTGGACAGCTTAGTGTTGTAATCCAACATGGATGTGACAATACCAAGACCAATCTTGATCAAAAGAGCACCGCCTGTAAAACACACACACGTACACACATGCATACAGTCTCAGCTGTCACCTAAAACAACCACAAGTGTTCTACGGCAATATATGAGGGAGTAATTCAAATTCATCTGCTCGAGAGAGACAAAAATGTCAGTCAAATGTTTGGCTTTTTCACTTCATACATAGAAGGCTGCCGCGCTCCGGCAATGCAGTCTACTAAATTCTGGCAAAGGACTATGTGAAAGACACAGCATAGTACCAGTAACGCTCTCTCTCTTACTTAGGTCGGCACCCTCGGTGTGCTGGAAGAGCGTCCTGAGAAGGTCTGTCTGCTCGTTTTTGTCTACACCCTGTGATGGAACAAAAGCATTGGGGGAAAGAGAAAATACGTTGAGTTAGGAGAAAGCCTTACCAGCTTTGAGACCGCAAGCTTAAAGTAAATTTTCATTCCTTTAAACTGATGAATATAATAAGGAATTTAGCAAATGGAGAGCTTCGCCAAAGTACACTCTCGGCAGTAAAGACTTTGAATTCCTCAGCTCGGCATTAACTTGTACCATTTGATTCGAACTCTGGTTGCTAAAATTTGCTAGGGAAAAATCTGGTTTGGCTCAATTGAAGTATTCACCAGTTTGAGGAAATGGGAAAAATTCACTACAGATCTCTTGAAAATTACTCATTTTACCAAAACTGGTTTGACAAATGCAGGTTCCATAAAAAAAAAATTGCTTCTACTCATCAAATCTGCGATTTCTGAGTGCAGATGAGCATCTGGATCCCGTTCACGTATGCTTTATCAACGGCAAGTAATGCCTAGTCCAACCTACCTTCTTTCCACGGCTTGACATGATTTCATTGAACTTGTTGATGACAGCAGCAGGTGTAATCTCTTCCTTGTCCTTGAACATGGACTTCTGCTCACACAAAGGAAGGCACATGCTAGTCAGTAAAGTGCAGCGACCAGTGACAAAGACATCAGGTCATGAACAAGTCACACTCATTGCGATTCACCGACACCGACACACACACACACACAAATACACATCCAGACCTTCGCTCAGCTGATCCACGTGCACACATACCTTCTTCTGCCTCTGGGTCTCCCAGTCGGCATCATCATCATCAGCCTTCTGCTTTCTCGGCACATTCGTCCTCTGCTTGCGGACCTTCCCGCCTGATGCACCTTCAGTGGGTCTAGGGGACAGATGAAGAGTTACACACACACACCTCAATGGCACCGCCTCCTCCGACCTATACGTTTCACATCATGCAGTCTTCAGGATATAAAGTTCAGCGATCTAAGTCTGCGAGCACTGCGGCACATCATAAACCAAACGAACGGGTTCCAAAATCAGGATTTTTGCACTCACACTGCATGTTGGATCACTGGCTATTTTTACTGCATCAAAAGAATGCGGTACACTGTGAGTGCGAGTTCAATTGGGAACATCAGATAACAAGACCATGCGACTCAGCCCCATAAACTGAAACTGCTCGGACGCTGAAGTTTCAATTTCTGACTATGGTACTGCCAATCCTCAGCCGTGCTGCAAGCCAACCACTCTATTAACAGGGAACTGTGCTCACCTCTTCTTCAAGAAGTACTCAACAGTGTAAGAAATGATACCCTTGGCCTTCTCATCATCGGAAGAAGAGTCATCCTCATCACTGGACATGTCCCACATGGAGTCGGAGTCACTCCCGCTGCCAGTAGTCTCGCGCACCTTCTTCACCTTTGGTTGCTTAGGTGGCTTTACCGGCTGCTTGACCTCATCTTCGCTGTCGGAATCGTCGTCGCTATCAGAAGCTACAGGAACACACACACACGCAAGCGCCAATGGCCACAACAGCACACTCTCATCACCTATGGCACGGCCAGGAATTCTCACTATCTTATCTGAGTCACATGACAGTTTCATGAAGTTCACGAGAATACCACAAACAGCACTTACGCTGATCAACCGTCTGCTTGACGTCATCATCACCCTCATCTGGGTTCTCCCGATAAGCTGTGATGTCATCCTCAAAGTCCTTATTGTACTTGCGGACACGCTGACGCAATGTGCTAAGTGCCTGAAGGAGAATGTAAAAATCAAATTTAAATTATCAGAATTAAAGAACAAATGCAATCTGTGCATTCATGACACACTACATCACAATTGTTTCGGGCTCCGGCCTTAATTCTATAACAAACGTTTTCAAGTGACCTCCATCAGCAGAAAGGTCGTCACTAAAAGAATTTCTCGACCAAACACACAGTAATATCGTAGGAGAAAGCAAGATTCTAACACCAAAGGTGAACAAAATAGATGTACAGTCAACTTCGCTAATAACGACTGCGGATATAACGACAATTCGCGAATAACGACCGAATTTCCATGCCCAGAGCAAAGTCCCATCTAACTGTATACATTTAACTTCGGATATAACGACTATCTGAATAACGACAATTCGCGTATAGCGACATGCTTTTAGTGCCCCGAGGTCATATTCACTGCTTGAATAACGACTTTCTGGGCTTTTGACAGCTATTTCAAGTACCTGTCAGTCAAGTACAATGTACCTATCGTGCAGAAGTACCGGAACCTATGGTGATGTATATTATTATAGGCACACATGCACATGCAAGAAAATGCAGCCAAGGGGGCCGGGGGGGGGGGGGGGGGGGGCTTTTTCTTCCTTTTTTATGTTGGCTTCAAAATTGTTGGATTTACCAGCACACCTATAATGGGCTATATGTATACAATGTACATGTAGTTGTACATGATTGTACAGTAATCCTAATACATTTACATCATCGTACATGTACATGTCTCTGGTCCTGTAGATGGCCCAAAAAGGCATATTTTTCAATTGATTTCCCTTGCATATCGAATTTTTAGTTCCTTTCAACTGCAATATGAAAATAGAGTACACATTGACATAGAGCAAGAAAAGATCTTGATTTTGATATGCATGTCATACTATACAAAATATGGGTTCACATACATTCAAATGGGACTTCGGTTATAAGGACACTTCGCGAATAAGGACACTTTTCTGATGCCCCGCCGAATGTCGTTATTGGCGAAGTTGACTGTAACAGCATGTGAGATGAACAGCGAAAGGTGCACTGATACAAAAATGCCAGGAAAGTACAAGCTACTAACTTCAATTGAAAGTGTTAGAAACAACCTACATCCGCACGAGCAACCCTGATCTACGCGTGCAGATGGGAGATGTCACCACTTTTTCAGTAACATTACTGGATACCTTAACCCAACAGTTGCACCCATTTGCATCTTTACACCATTCAAACTCTTACTATGTCCACATGGACGTATACATTCCGGCATTATCCGTATCACTACAGTTTTTGTTGTTCTAGACAACCGTATAGTCACCACCTGCTGGACTACTTACCTTGGCATTCAACTTGTTCAACTTCTTCTTGTCTTCCCAGAGCTGCATAAGATCAGGTAAAATATAACCAACAGAGTGAGGACTTTGACAAGATGCATATCCACACCTACAGTGGTGCACGTTTTCTTGTACAGAATAGCATACACACGGATGTACATCTATTGGACAGTATGAAAAGGCATTCAGGAGGACACCTGAAGAAAAAAAACACTCTTCCATGCAGAAAGTTGAACTATTAAGGGGTCGTCGCAAAAGTTTTTTGTCGTCCCTGAAACGAACATGATTCATTTGGGGGGGGGGGAGGGGTGCGAGCCAAAATCGCAAGTCGACCGACACTGTACATATGACATGTACATGCATGCGATTTTCTTCGTCCAGCATAGCAAGCTGTGTTCGTTTCAGAGGGAGGGGAGGGGGTCCAAGTACGAAATGAACGATGTTCGTTTCAGGGACGACAGAAAACTTTTGGGACGACCCCTAATACGTACACATCATCAACATACGTTCCATCATACACAGAGCAGAAAACAAAAAAGGACACGGACAGAGAGAGAGAGAGAGAGAGAGAGAGAGAGAGAGAGAGAGAGAGAGAGAGAGAGAGAGAGAGAGAGAGAGAGAGAGAGAGAGAGAGAGAGAGAGAGAGAGAGAGAGAGAGAGAGAGAGAGAGAGAGAGAGAGAGAGAGAGAGAGAGAGAGAGATTGCGACTGACCTCTTTCACAAAGTCTTCCAAATCAGCAAGAGTACGGATGTAAATTCGGGGAATGCCATTTTTCTCCACCACCGCCTTTGCCTTACCGAACAAACGCACAAGTGTTTCAAAATCTACAGCAACATAGAATACAAAGAGATGGCAGAATGAGCTGTGCAAATGCATATAAAGTCACATGAAAAAGGAATGATATATAGAGCTTTTCGTACAAAGGCAAGTTCAAATATATACAAAGAGATACATTAGTCAATACATTCACAACAAAAGTCGACAAACCTGTTTGCACTTTGGAGACATCCTTGATTTTCTTTGAATTACGCAATACCTTCACGCATTCAGTGATTTCATCAAACCTGTAAGGACACCACACAAAAGAAGAAAAAAACAGCGAGAAGTTACCGCTAGTGGAGACACCCAGGAGGAAATGATGCTAGATATCTGTCATACAGTGTTGTATAAAAACATGACCGTGTTATGGAGTTGTAGCAATCGGCAAGGTGACAATCACTGTGCGTCATTGGTTTGTGTACTTTGACAGTTATTCTTTTGACCTTACCTTATTGGGATTCTGTTTGCCTTTTTTCTGTCGTTTTTTTGTTTTTACAACTCCAGTGGGATGCAGCTTTGCCAGAGCATCTAGTTGAGCTCTTTTGTAACTCCGTCAAAAATAAGTCTATCGCGATAATTGATACACCGTTAGAAAGGTATTGAGCTCAGCTTTCTAGCAATATAAAGTTCTTCGCGATAGGAGAAAGATTGACGGAGCGGCGACGGTGTGAACACGGAATTCACGGCACTGAGCGATCGTGAATTTTTTTGTTCATGCATTCGCAGTTTTCTGTTGCATGCCAGGGGATTTCCCTTTGGCGCAGCGCATGCGTAATGGACCACAGCGGAAACACGTGGATCTCAGCTTTGCACCGCAGTTTGAATCGTGAAAATCGGCTGAACTGGAACAAGAAATCGAAAAAGAATGTGAGATCGAGTTGCTGTGCCTTTCCGAGGCATCGTGAAGTAGTTTCGAGAGGACATAGAAGTTGCACCGCCGTGCATATTGAGAGGGGAGCTACCAGGATGGATTTGCTTGGTCCTGATTTTTCCAACAAGCCCAGGATGACGAAAATCCATCAAGGTGAACTGAATTGAGAGACAAATTCGTTCAGACCTGGGCGCGAAAACGACACCAGGAGAGTCAGTGCGCTGGAAAGGCAGTTTGCTGGAGTAAAAGGGGTCAGCACGGAAAGGGTTAATGCAGGGATTGACTAGAGTTGGACCAACATGGCTGTCCCGTATGATCATGAGACAGATATGCAATAGCTCCATTGGCTTATGTAGTTTTTCTATGCCACTTTACAGGATATAAATCTCCATAATAGTAGTCATGCTGTGGACAGATACTTTGCACCTTGCCAGGGTACTGAAATTAATGCTGTAATCCAGTTGCAACAAGTCTCTTGGTACCATACTCAGCGACTCGAGCACATGTACTGCCGAAAAAGTCCAGTGTGCTTACATACATGTTTGGAACTTTTGCCACTCAAAAAGTAGGAATTTTCCACGCACAAGTGATCACCCTTATTTTTGTTGTACTTCAATGGTAAATCCCAAGTGTATTTGGCAGTATACCTGAGTGTCAACAATGACGAATTGTGTTTGGTTTCAAGCCATTATGTGCTTATAATGTCAGAGGTGATCTTTCATCGTAGTCACATCATGTGAAATCCCCAGTACAAAGATTCATGCACTCCTGAACGCATCACCTGAACGTATCCGCACTGTACGTGTTAATTGCCACACATCTAATAGCGTGAATTCAATTATTGAGTGTCAACATCATAAATTACACCATGTGTTCTATTCCCTAAACTTATGAATGCGTTACTAGTATTACGGTACTTTTAGTTGAAACGCACAACGTTGTAAGTGTAGAATAGCATTTGAACGCTTCCTCTCCAACTAGAATTCAGAATTATCGTGAGATTCGTAACATAAGTAATGTGAACAGAAAACGAAAACAAAAATGGGTACGTGATGAGCACTCCTCACCTCTTGTCCTTCTCACTACGAACCACTCGTTTGACTTCATCTTCATCATCAGAGAGAACGTACCTGCACGCATGGCCACACGAGAAGACGGTCACGCTCCCAAACCAATTTTTCTACGAAAAAATTCTCCACTGAGCTCTTTCAAACATACCTCGCAGCAGAGGCCGCGGTGGGCTGCGTCTCTGGCTCCGAGACATCAGTCTCAGTATCTGAGTCGCTGTCTCCAGCAAAGAATCGAGACATGATGACGGCCTACTCAGCTCTAAAAGAGCAACACCAGTCTGTCCCGCACGAAGGAAAATCCTTTACGTCGGCTCCTTCACCTCAGCAAAACAATCAGCAAGCACAAACGCTCAGCGAAAGCAACATGAAAATGATCTGCGAAGGCCTCATTTTGCTCGCCATTTTTGTTCCTGACGTCACGTTGTAATGATGATGAGGAAACCCTGATTTATTTGATCTGATTTAGCGACTGATCATGTGATCGATCATGCTATGATGTGCATTGTGCACTTGACTCTTGTCTTGAGAGTACAAGTACGAGGTGATTATTTTGGCTTTTTTTAAAGGGGAAGTATACCCTAAAATCAAATTTTCACCAGTTGTAGTCTTCGGGGTGCTGAGTCGAATGGTCTTGGTCCGAGGAAGCTGCGACGCTCCCTTCCTACTTGAATCCCAATCGAACTCGCGCACTTCCACCGAAACTGGGTGACTGCGCCCTACTAGATGGGGATTTGTATGCAAAATGTCACTAAAAGCGCCATTTCGTTCTTATAAAAGCACGGATGACCGCGATTGGCCCATGTGTTGTAGTCTTTTGGACGCTGAGTCGACTGGTTTTGGTCCGAAAAGGCTGCGACGCAGCGTTCCTCCTTTATTCCCAATCGAACATGGTTGAAGAAGCGGTCACGTGCTCCTGGTTGCCCAAATCACCAGGTCACCGCGCCAGCAGGCGACAACTTTCACACCAAGGTTCAACTCGAGTTCAACTCGAGTGACAGGACTGCACCCAAAAAAGGTCAAACAGGCTAGTAGTAAGTAGTTGTACCCTGCAGGCACGGTGACCAGGTGACTGGTGTACGCAGGAGCACGTGACCGCTTGTTCAACCATGTTCGATTGGGAATAAAGGAGGAACGCTGCATCGCAGCCTTTTCGGACCAAAACCAGTCGACTCAGCGTCCAAAAGACTACAACATATGGGCCAATGGCGCTCATCCGTGCTTTTATAAGAACGAAATGGCGCTTTTAGTGACATTTTGCATACAAATCCCCATCTAGTAGGGCGCAGTCACCCAGTTTCGGTGGAAGTGCGCGAGTTCGATTGGGAATAAAGGAGGAAGGGAGCGTCTCAGCTTCCTCGGACCAAGACCATTCGACTCAGCACCCCGAAGACTACAACTGGTGAAAATTTGATTTTAGGGTATACTTCCCCTTTAAACATTTGGCATTTTTTAACAAAATAATGTGTAAAATTTGCCTTTCTTCTGGCTGTTATGTTTCTCTGCTCCGGATGGCTGTATATCGAAACATGGGTGGTGGCAAATGAGATCGATAGCCAGTTTATGGTAGATCAACATTGACCAGACAATTTGGTGCATATAATTTAATTCTCCCTGCCACGTCGGTATAACTAGTGGTGGGTGCTTTGGCCATTTTTGTATAAAAATGTGTAAAATAGGCCCTGAATGGACGAGGAGGGCAGTGAATTGCTTCTGCAGGGCCTTTGCCCTTTGGACGACGTCAGGCCGTCTTGCCATCACTAAAGACAGTAATGAAGAACAGTAGGTAGTAGTAGTAGTAGTAGAATTTATTATTTTGATAGGGAAGGCCCTACAGACGTTGCCGTCTTGTTACAGGGAACCCTAAGTGCTCTTTACAGAGCGAAACAAAAACGGATAGATGCTCAACCTGCCGACACGAGACAGGTAGAGAATTCCACCTATCAGCGCCAAGGAAAGAAATAGAGAACATGCCATATCTAGTGGTAGCAGCGGGCAAAGAAAGTGAAGAGAATGAGGTCACAGAATATACTCTGTGAGAGCGAAAACATGGCTGCGATGCTATGCCGCACCTATCCAATTCCACCGTATAACACAGCCACTAGTTACAAATACAAAAAAACACGGCTTTCGCAGCATACAATGCAGTTCACTCCTCTCCCCGTTGACAGATTAATTTTCATCCACTAGCAATCCTTGAAGTGATATCTATCAACTTCAGAACATTGATGACCGAATATCCCAGTTTGTGATGCCATTAATTTTTACGAATTTGTTAAAAAATGACACACCAATTATTTGAATCCTGAGAATACTATGAAAGTAGGACATGATTCAAGACACTTTCCAAAGTGGGATCATTCCCATTTTTGGACACAGCGGGCATGCATCAAGGATAGCACTTCCACTTGCAACAATTCATTTGGACGCAGCTTTTCTAGAAGTGACTAAAAAAACGTCATTTTACAACCATGTTAAAAAAAAGCCAAATCACCTCGTACATACCTACCACCGGTTATGTGTATTATTTTCACGGAGAAGGCGGAGAGCTACAGTCTGTTTCAAAAAGATTAGCAATCAAGTTTGGGTCTTAAAAAGTATGAAGATAAGGGGAAATTGGACAACAAAGTACATAAAACGGCTTGTTAGGGCACGGCAAATTGTTCTGTGAAGGTTTCGGAACATGTTAACAATTGGACCAACCGTTAAGGAGTTAGCATTTCGGCCAGGTTTCTGGCCTTTTCCCATGGTATATAATTTGCCCTGGAAGCCAGTATCGATTTGTTATCAAAACCCACGATTTATCCCTTCCTTTTTCATGAAGTTGTGAGTTCAAATCCCAACAAATCTTCAAGTCAAACATTTTTTCTTCATTTTTTCATTGTTTTGGTGATCACGCTGGTACAAGACAAAGAAGGTGGCTGCGCCAAACGACTTGTTGTTGGAGCTCGCGTTTCCTGCCGAACTGACTGACACTTGACTGGCTCACGCCATGTGAAGTTGTGAACACACACAACACTGAAACCGTGTGAGTGAACACAGAAGTCATTGCGCTGCTACGTGTTGTTGAATACACCGGCATGTCGATCGATCGATTTCTGTTTGAGAATTATTTTAGTATTTGAAGATCGCCAATTTATTTGAATTTAGGAGTCAACGCCGTCTTCTATCAGTTTCACAGGCGTCTACTTTCTATAAAATGTCGTCGAAGTCACACGGATAGCTTTGCCACTTCAAGGCCTTGGGAATGAGTCTGTGTCGATGCCGTTTTCGTCACATCGTGAGAGTACAATAATTGCATCCGCGGCAGCTCAAAGAATCTATTTGGTCACAAAACGGACGCATCCCACTCGTCAAAATTTACCACACTTTCGACATGTCCTCTCTGACTCCATATCGATGCGAGGAAGAACTCGTTTGTTGTAATAGGCGATTCACACGACAGGCAAATCCACGTTTGTCAAGTGCCCGCAGGAAGTGAAACGTGAGGCTGCAGTTCACACGGCCGCGGGTGGCGGCCAGAGCTCCCGCGAGTATCCGGTGAGTACGAGTATACGGCGTTACTGTGGTGATTTGGAATGAGTACCCAAAAACAAAGGCCAAACAACCAGGGTTCAAGACTACCGTACCATAGTACGACCTTACAGCCTCATAACTGTAAAAGTGCCCGCAGATGAGTGCATCCGCGGGCAAAAAGGCCATGGACACTTTTGATTCCCGCGGGCAAATTTTGGTCACCCGCAGGAATATCTCCATGGTGACTTTCCTGTAAACGTGGATTTGCCTGTCGTGTGAATCGCCTATAAACCAGACGAACATGTACGAGTACCGACGTCAGATGGTCAGTGAGTTGTCATTTTTCATGCTTTCGCGCGGAATATTTCTTCGAGTTCACAGTGAGTTTTTCCAGGCAGCGCTCGAGCGCTCATACGGTAAGACGGCAACTCCCCGGGCGATCGCCAGGATTGCTAATCTTTTTGAAACTGCCCGACCGTACAGTCATGTAGATCTACGTGCGCAGTTTTATTTTTATTATTTGCCATGGCGACCCCAGTATTTAAAAAGTCCAAATAACTGGCAGGGTTGGGACTTGTCACTTTTTCTTCCTTCTCGGATTGTGATTTCTTACCAGGCTTTACTCGCAAACCCAAAAGAGTTATGTACTCTTGCGTACATGTACTCGCTGGTCTGCAGTGCCTGGCCGGAGAGTCGTAAACATACTCCATCTAATTCCTAACATCCACAAAAGCACCACAATCATGCAACCACTGAACCAGCAGGCAGTGCAGCCCGCCTGCAGGAGGCAACTCTCTGAAAACTCAAAACTATACCTTTCACAATCCAAACACCCACAAAGTTATGGATCCAGAGTGACCAGATTCTAACCCAAACAACACAAATGTTGTGCATGTTAATTTTAATTGTTTGGATGGCGACCACAAGCGATCAACCAACTCAGAGTTACTCTACTCTTTGCCCAGCCCCAGGAGACCATGATTCGTGTAGGAGACGAACCATTGCCGCAAGTGTGGGCCACCATACAGGCATAGAGTACATAACATGGAGGTTATGCTCTTGATATTATCAAGAGTACATAACGGGCTATGCACTCTTGATACTATCAAGAGTACAACAAAATTGTTCCATTTTTTTAAACTCCGGCTAGCGCCGGCTGTGAAATACATGCGCGGGGGGGGGGACGCGAAACATAGATAAAAAACGGTGTGGCCTAACAATTGTTCGCAAATTTTCACCCAGGAGGGCATTTATCAGATTAACATGTAATTAAAAAACAAACAAACAATGCTGCTCAGTAAAATCCGATCATGTGAGTCTCAGTCAATGTCATACCCAGGCCCAGACCTGTAAAGACTGAGCTCTGAACTGGTGCAAAATTCGTATGCGCACAATCGGATTTCATTGAGCAGCACTGCAGCTCGCGTCCAAACCGAAAAGTTGGGGAGGGAGGATTGACAACGAACAGATGCCACGATTTACAGTCATTAGTTCACGGCGCAAGTTGCACAGCGGTGACGATTAAAGGGGAAGTTAAGGCAAAAATTAAAATTTCACCAGTTGTAGTCTTCGGGGTGCTGAGTCGAATGGTCTTGGTCCGAGGAAGCTGAGACGCTCCCTTCCTACTTGAATCCCAATCGAACTCGCGCACTTCCACCGAAACTGGGTGACTGCGCCCTACGAGATGGGGATTTGTATGCAAAATGTCACTAAAAGCGCCATTTCGTTCTTATAAAAGCACGGATGACCGCGATTGGCCCATATGTTGTAGTCTTTTGGACGCTGAGTCGACTGGTTTTGGTCCGAAAAGGCTGCGATGCAGCGTTCCGCCTTTATTCCCAATCGAACATGGTTGAACAAGCGGTCACGTGCTCCTGCGTACACCAGTCACCTGGTCACCGTGCCTGCAGGGTACAACTTACTAGCCTGTTTGACCTTTTTTGGGTGCAGTCCTGTCACTCGAGTTGAACTCGAGTTGAACCTTGGTGTGAAAGTTGTCACCTGCTGGCGTGGTGACCAGGTGATTTGGGCACCCAGGAGCACGTGACCACTTGTTCAACCATGTTCGATTGGGAATAAAGGAGGAACGCTGCATCGCAGCCTTTTCGGACCAAAACCAGTCGACTCAGCGTCCAAAAGACTACAACATATGGGCCAATCGCGGTCATCCGTGCTTTTATAAGAACGAAATGGCGCTTTTAGTGACATTTTGCATACAAATCCCCATCTCGTAGGGCGCAGTCACCCAGTTTCGGTGGAAGTGCGCGAGTTCGATTGGGATTCAAGTAGGAAGGGAGCGTCTCAGCTTCCTCGGACCAAGACCATTCGACTCAGCACCCCGAAGACTACAACTGGTGAAATTTTAATTTTTGCCTTAACTTCCCCTTTAAAAAAAAACCACACTGTATTAGCATACCAAAGCCAGTGTAAGTGTATGGTACAACAGCACACAAGAACGTACTAGTGGTAACCAGGGTAACCACATGGGTAATCAGACCATGAGTCTCTAACTTCTTTTTAAACTACATAGCATAGAGTAACTAAACTAGCTAACTTTGGATGAGGCATGTGCAGTTTCATGAGCGACTGGTTAAAGCAGCATGTGTTGTGTGCGATTTTATGACCCACGCTGTGACAATACGCATGGGTAACACAGGCAAGTAGACAGAAAGAAACAAAACTATGAGCACGAAGAAAATAAAAGAGCAACGCATCTGACAATGATGTTTTATAGTATACACCTTCCATGAAAACCCGTCCAGAAAGAGCAAGGACCAGCAGCTACATGTATGCGAACGTTTGCATTCAATTCTCTACATAGCCCACTACAGCTGTATCTATGATTGTGTGAACGCATCACTATAGCGCAGCAAGAGTATTCCATTCGATGCAGCCCAGGGGCTTATGTGGATAGGACATCCACGGTACATGCACGTTACGCACACATACTACATTTGTGTACCATTCATGTCTCATCTGACGACATTGAAGTAGCGACCGGATCATCTGGTGGCTGTGAGTCGCGTGACCCACTTTTGCTCGTTGCTGCTGGTGTTTCATCCTTATCGGAAGAGGTCTTGGTGGACTGAGCTGCTTTTCCAGTAGCTGTGGCTGATGATGTCGCTTCTGCAAACAACACCATAAAAAAGCATATTTGCCATGGAATCCAGCTCAACATATTCCAGAGACATACACCTGATTGCTTATAGGCTAAAGATAATATCTCCTCTCCCCCAATATTTCAAAACTCAAGGTATGCATTCGACAACGGAAAAATATGTTCTCCAGTCTATAGTGCATTTTAAACAAATAAAGGTGCACAATTTCCCACAATTTTGGCTAGATCTCAGGGATTTTTCTTGACACCTTCCATTTCTCCTTGGACACTGTAGACTGCTTATACTCTGGAAAATATGGTACTGTAAAACACGTTATTTTCGTGTAACTTTAATTTCGGTGATTTCGGTAGAGAAAACAGGCACCTAAATTTAGATTACACCTAAAAGGCATTCGCGTATGCACTATATGTGACGGGAATGCTACTTGAAACATGTCAGGTCCCTGGCACCGAAATTTTAACACACCCAAAATTACATGTTTACAGTATTCCTTTCCTCCTCTGTCTAGAGAAATAAAAGACAGGTCTGTGATGGCAGGGATCGTTAAACTTTGTACCCGTTACGTGGGAACAAACTTTAAACTCGATCAACTCAAACACATTATAGAAATAATGTGTACGCACTCATACCACGACACCAGAAGAACAGCTAAAATGGTGTAAGGATTTTAACGTCGCTTTCATGTGGCAATCATCAGAAATCTTCGTCACACTGAGAGTTGGCGAGAAACACTGAAATCCTAAAAATAGGGCTATTGAAAGTGTGATTAATAAGGCGAGCGGTGCTAAAGCAGTGGAGTAGCACCCGCTACGACTGGTACGACCATGGCCGTACCACTTTTTGAAAAGTGTGGTCCGTCTGGAACGTGCAAAACCGTGATAAAAAAATCAGGATCCATCAATGCATATGCGCATCAGACTTTTTCTAGACTCGTACTCGTAGATTTGCCATGCATCTGCAGCCGTACTGAGTACTGTACTCGACTCGACTGCACAGTCATGCACAGTCATGTCAGTGCAGTGCATACGATACTGACGTCGCGACTCGTAGATCTACGAGCATGAGTCATGCGTGCCAGATACAGTGGAGGTCGGATATAACGACCTTGCATATAACAACAGATTGAGTTTAACGACACAATTCTGTTGTCCAAGTTGTTTAGTAAGCCCTTAGCGAAGATCGGGTTTAGTGGCAGATCAAATATAGTGACATTTTGTTCTCTCCCGAAGGAGTGTCGTTATATCCAATCTCCACTGCACTGGCATGGTGCATGCACTATGCATGATCCTAGGTCCTGCCTTGCTTGTTGTGCTGAACTTTTGCTCGAAACGAGAGAGCTTGGAAGCTCAGGGCCCTACGCTACGCTTCGTTGCCTAGCTCATCGTGCATGTTGTTAGAACTGATGGAAATGTGTTTCCCTTTGATTACCTACATCATTGTATTGCAAAAGCGTTTCAATGAGTTACTGAAGTAACGTCTTCTGCATAGCTATTGGACCGGGGCTGACTCTGCCGATCACGGGCGTTCTGGAGTTGACGGGATGTCTGTCCTGACGTTTCCTGGGACCGGCGCTGACTCTGCCAATCACGGGCGTTCTGTAGTCGACGGGATGTCTGTCCTGACGTTTCCTGGGACTGGCGCTGACTCTGCCGATCACGGGCGTTCTGGAGTCGACGGGATCTCTCTTCCGACATTTCCTGTGACCGGCGCTGACTCGCCCGTTCATGCTTATTTTGGAGATGACGGGATCTCTCTTCCAATGTATGTTTTTGCTGACGCATCCTATCACCTATTCGGCAACTAACGTCCATTCTAATTTGCATTTCGTCCTCGTCTCCCTATTTCTTTCCAGAAAATCTCCCTATACATCAGGGAGTTGTATACATAATACGACGAATATTGTGGCCAGCTGTTTGTTTTTTCATAACGTTTTTATAATGTTTGTGGCCAGTTGTGTTTGATGGTACGGTACGGTACGGGTCAGATACGGGATAGCGCCAGGCGTGACACAAACACACAAACAAACAAACAAATACCAAATTAAAGCTGTGTGGACCCTGGCTAGTGCCAGACGTTACTGAAGTAACGTCTTCTGCATAGCTACGGGAATAAAAAAAAACTAGGCCAGGAAGTCGCACGGTACGGACTCTCCGGTCAGTTCGTTTTGAGATCGGTGATGGCGGAGGCACCTTGGCCAGAAGTTAGCGAAGAGCCGTTTCAGCCAAGAGACAACGAGTTTCCGAACAAAGCTACGGAGTGAAGGTAGTTGTGTTTCGCCGTTTTCAGCCCGAGTGGTTTGATCAGTTCCCCTCGCTTCACTGGGACGTTGGCAGCGAGAAAGTGTTTTGCTACGCTTACGTACGTGCGCCCAGGCAGAATCTGATCTCTTCAGAAAATGCGGATTCGGCATTTATCTCGACAGGCTTCCAGAATTGGAAAGAGGCAAAGCGAGTGATGACAGGCCACGCTGTATCAGGATGTCACAGGGAGGCTGTGGAGCGCTTACAGCAAATCCCTCAAGCGGTCGGTGATGTTGGGGAGCTGTTAGACTCGCAACTAGCGAAGCAACAACAGCAACACCGCCAGTGCTTCTTCAAGATCCTGCGGGCGCAAGCAAGGACTTCCTCTTCGAGGCGCAACTAAGGAAGATGGTGAAGTTGACGGTCACTTCATGCAGTTGCTTGCCATGTTCGCTGAGAGCGATGACCACCTCGTGCGATGGCTGGACCGTCGCTCTGAGAAGTATACAAGTCCTCAGATACAAAATGAAATCCTGCAGCTGATGGCCCATCGTGTACTGCGACAAGTTGCAGCTGACATCCGCAGCAATTTCTCCTCGGTGATGGTAGACGAGACAACCGACTGCCCCACTGTCGAGCAATGCGTTGTAGTCATTTGCTGGGTGGACGACACACTGCAGCCACACGAGGACTTCATCGGGTTTTACGCCATCCCAGTTGCCAATGCTGATACCATCGTGAAAGTCATACAAGACTGCTTGCTTCGCATTGGACTCAGCTTGGCGGACTGCAGAGGTCGGCGTTACGATGGGGCTGCCGTGATGAAGGGTGTAAGGAATGGTGTCGCACAGCAGATCTTATTGGAGCAGCCAAAGGCACTGTCTACGCACTGTTATGGGCATTCATTGAACCTTGCCTGTCAGGATATGGTTCGTGAGGTGAAAGCAGTGAAATTTGCCTTGGATACAACATTCGAGCTGAGCAAACTGCTTAAGTACTCCGCCAAACGTACCGCTGAGTTCGATCGGCTGAAGAAGGAAATTGCTCCAGAGGAACCTGGGTTTCGAACACTTTATCCGACCCGGTGGACTGTCTGAGCATCCTCTCTGCACAGTGTGCTTGTGAACTATGAAGTTTTGCAGGTAAGTCTGGATCGCTTCACTGAAATGGCGAAATATGACCATGAGATGTCAGCGAAGTGCAATGGTGTGCGATCCCAGCTGTCGTCGTTCCCTTTCCTCTTTGGTGTGTCTCTTGGCCATTTAGTCCTACAAGTTGCTGACAACCTCAGTGTAGCCTTGCAGCAAAAAACATTGTCTGCTGCGGATGGTCAACGTCTGGCGCAAGAGACAATACGGGCTCTCCAAAAGCTTCGAAGCGAAGATGAGTTCTCGAAGTTCTGGAGTGGTGTCCTTACGAGGCAGCGTCCCTTTATGTAGGTGAGCCTGAAATGCCACGCCGACGGAAAGCTCCTGCCCGATTGGAAGTTGGCTCCTCAACACCGTCATTCCCGTCCTGCGTGGAAGACCATTTCCGTCCCATGTTCTACCAAGCCATTGACACCATCATCAATTCCATTCGGGAACGATTTGATCAGCCAAGCTTGAAGCAGTATCAACAGCTGGAGGACCTCCTTGTGAAGGCAGTTTCTGGAAAGTCTTACCAGCAAGAGAAGACATGTGTGGAGACAATGTGGAAAGATTACCTCAACTTCGCTATGCTGGATAGCCAACTTAGCATCTTGGCGTCCAAGTTTCAGTCTTCTGGCAGCGTTGGCTTGGCCGATATCATGGTGCATACATGAGTGAAGTGATGGTGCTGCTGAAGCTGATTCTTGTTGCACCAGCAACGCATGCCACAAGTGAGCGCTCATTCTCTGCTCTTCGCCGTCTCAAGACTTACTTGAGACCAGCCATGTCTCGGCAGCGATTGAATCACTGCGCCATGCTCAACATCATGAGGAAAGCTTGTGATAATCTGAAGCTAGTGGACATCGGCAATGCCGTTGTCTCTGCTAGCCAACAAAGGTATGACATCTTTGGTAAGTTCTGCTAACTGTTTGCTGCACAGGTATACAAATTCCGTTTTGTATCGTGGGTGCTGGATCCCATTCTGCTTGAGCTACAATTAGTGTCGAACTGCAAATGAACCCCATCTTCTTCCCTCCTTTTCTCTTTTTGCGTTGTTCTCTTTTCAAAACGGCTGTGTTGAGAGTTAATTGTTCCTAATCCTTTTTAGCTATGAACTCCAGTGCTGAGTTGTTGTTGTATACATTTGAGCACTGCTGCAGGTTATTATAAGGCGCTGCCTCTGTATATATGTAACCCCCCAAGAGTGGCGAACACTCACACCACGTATCTCAGGTACGTTTCGCACTACGTACAAATGAAGGATAGCGCGCGCAATCCGAATATCTGCCACGATCATGTTGGGGATTTGCATACGCGCAATGAGTTTCTGTCAGAGAGAGAGAGAGAGAGCTTTTTATTACTCCGCTGCTTGCTAAAAACGGGCTGGAAACGTACAACTGCGACACTACACCACGTGATGTGAGTTTTCGCCGCCGGCGTACCCCATAGAAAGGGTATCAGGAGTTGCACACTCTTGGGAGGTTATATACTCTTGGTATCTATCAACTCAGACCGGTAACCAGACCATGATTCTACTTTAACTCCCACAGCACAAAAGTGTCAAATGGCAGTCACAATAGGGCGAGCATCACATGCTTTATCTCGCTGCAAACAGGTCTGTCACAGCATGCAAATTCATCTCCGACATGGCATGTGATGTTCGACGTGTTGGGAAATTCTACATGCTTGCATTGGGCAGTATGCAAACAGATTCTGCACGGTGACAGCTCTTTTGAAGGTAAGAAGTGGCCAGTGCAGAGGTTTAGTTGTAGATGTACCAGACTTTGATCATGGTCAAACATCATGGACACTATGAATGCAGTCATGGTCCTTGATGCACCCATTGTATAACTATAAATTATTTAAAGTATACGCTCAAGACAAGCCATGTGCTCACACATGCAAGATATGCTGCGAGCATACTCGCGCACGACTTGATGCAAGTGGAGCCTGACTCAGCTGAGTCGGGACAGTGAAAGTAGCGTTATTATTGCTTGGTCATTGTTTGACGTAGCATTGTTTTTTCTTGGCAGAATATGCTTCGGAGTCAGTTCGCTCAGTGCTTTGCTGCAGAAATGGTACCGTGTTCGACGGAAAACCTCTCCAAAAGAAATCCTGATGAAATCTCTTTTAAAATACACGTAGTTCTGATAGAACCAAGGTGCTAGGGCGATTGTGATAATCTTGGAGAACATCAGCCTAAGGCTAGTTACTTCCATGCAAAGAACTCCAGGATTAATTTTGCTCACATCAAGTTCTTCACCACCGCCGTCGAGATTATATTGTTGTCCGCAGAAAAATGCTTGAATCCATGTTCTCTTCACTAGCAAGAGACGAAGCGGTCGTTTTCGTTACGGCTAAAAGTGGGGAGTTTTCTAGGTGTGAAATTATTTGTCGATTTAGTTTTGTTCTATGGTTCATACTCTCCACCACTACAGAACTTTTATTTCTCTTTTTTTTGCTATCAGGCAACTTGCCCTTAGGTCTACTAGTATCAGTCTGAATCCAATGGTGCCTGTACGTATCTCTCGCATTTTCTTGAACAAACGGGTACAGCACTTTGTGTTGTGCCAACTTGGCATTCATTCAAAGTACTGTAGTTCTTTGATCATATAAGTGCTAGGCACACTGTAGTATCGCTGAAGTCGCAACAGCCTATTCTTCATAAAAGCTTTATGAATACAATGCTCAATCTGTGGACAGAACTGTTTCGTCCCTTGTAGACTCATCAGCGCAGCACAGAGAAAATGAGGCCGAACCTGATATGAATACAATATAAAATAGATCCGGTTGCTTGAAGATTGTTACAGGCACGAAACTCGGAGTAGCAACCTAACAATACTACTCTAGGAGGCTCGTACGCATCTTAAATAACAGATGTATGACTACTGTAGTGCTGGGATCTCAGCCCCCCCCCTCCCCCCTCCCCCCACCAAAACTTCCTACGCCACCGTACAAGTTAATTTCATCAGATCCTGACTCTGTCCTCCGATCACGGCCCTTTGTTGAAAGGGGGGCAGAGGTCCCTATCAGCACAAGACAGTGATAGGGGACAGAGTCTACACTACACTAGCATTACACCATTTGGCCAGTTCAAACAGGCATAACGGGGAAAGAGGCCTGTTGGAGCCGGCAGAAATGACGTACCCAGCCAAAGTTATTTGTGAAAGACCGACACCCATGAAAGGAAAAGAAGCTTCAGGCGTTGAGGCGCTATCATAAGTTGGATGCACTTTCCTGTTACGCTCATATCTCTCTAATTCGGGTGTTCCAGGAACGGGCACTGCCCATAACTTGGAAATGTCTGTAACTCTCGATCACGCACGTTTTGACGGGGAAGGGCCAGATATCTGGCATATGATGTCACTACTTGAAGTATTTGCATAAAAAATGGCAAAAGAGTAGCAAATTGCAATATTTCTACAAAAAAACTCTCCCACAGGGTGCCCGGTAGACTGAGGTGCCCGTGACTTCAAGGTCCGGATAAGAGAGCTATGAGCGTATCTAGTTTCTTTCTTTTTAAACTAGCTATCAACTCCAAAAAATAAGGAAACTTGTGGATTGTTGATGCGTTAGTGTGTTGCGTCGAAAGGTTCATACATGGCCAGCTACTACGACCTCTCTTGCTTCTGTTCCTATCACAGCCATAGCAGCACTCTACACCGGGTAGTCATCGCAATGCTACCATACAAGGCAGGTGTTCCTCTGCACAACCTCTCTCTCCGACAGAAGCACACACAATCCTACGAAAACGCCACAGTGGCTGAGCAAAGCACAACACTTGCCATAGCCAAACACAAGCTTTCTGTCCTGCTGTTCTATCCTGACTGGTTACGGAGCTACAACAATCGAGTGGACTGACAATGCTGGCATCGTGCGGCATACCGGCGGGTGTACAGCAGCAGCATGCAGCTGGTGACTATGCTTGTGCCATACACTTCTGCACTTCACTGCGAGCGCTGCAGCCTGTGGATGGAGAACTGTATGAAACTCCATCCAATTGGGTGTATACAACACGTTTTATCATTCAACTCAGCGCCTCTACTATCCCAAGAAGTACCAAGCTTGGATTCTACCACACAAATCCCATGTTATTGCAACAATCAATTACTAACACTTAATACATGTATAAAGAAGTAAACATTGGGGAAGAGAGGAGGGAAAGGGAAGGAGACAGAACGGGACTGAGGGACCAGACAGGGGAAAAACAGGCTGATTGTCTCCTTACGTACCTGTGGCGTAAACGAAAGTGTGGCGTACTATATCGCCTACCTTTTTGGCTACTCCGAGCACGCCGTTTCTTCTTTCGGTCAATGGTGGCCATTTCAGATTTGAGGTCACCATGAGCCCGCCGTATTTTAGTCATCCTTGCCATTAAAATATCAATTCTCTCCTGCTGTGTGTAGGTAGTGCCCTCTGCAAAGCCACAACACAACAGCAAGCACAGTAGAAAAGCAGCAACAAACATCCTTATGTCTTTGCAGTGGTGTCCACTCTGTTTGAACAGTCAACAAGTAAATGTCCAATACACAACCACCTACACTATTCAGAAATGTGCTCCGCAGAAGATCAGAAGAAGCAAAAGATACGAGAAGAATCAAGGCAGCACTACGTTGCTATGCAATTTAATTGAGAAAGTGTATCAACCACCTCCTCAACATGAACAAGAGAGAGAGAGAGAGAGAGAGAGAGAGTGTGTGTTTGTGTGTGTGTGAGAGAGAGAGAGAGAGAGAGAGAGAGAGAGAGAGAGGAGAAGGAAAGAGACGTCATACCGTTTGTACTTGCGAATGCAAAGAGAAGACAATACAATACAGCATACCAAAGACTGAACTCACCAAAGTCTTTAGTCCACTTGACATTACAATAGCGCGGTTTCTTGCCAGGCGGCAAATCATCAATATCAATCATAGGTTGTTGCCCAGCCTGACATACGGAGCTTGCACGTGCAGAGCTGGCACCACCACAAGCCCCAGCATGAGCGGCACCCCGTTGCACTGCGGATGGCGTCGGACTCGGCGCCTGCTCCAACGAGCTCTCGTCCAATCTAGCCATTGCAGTCGCAGCAGCAACAGCTGCAGCCGCAGCCGGAGCTGAATAATGTCGCCGACGAGCAGATGCACTAACTCGTTCCGTATCCATTGGTAAATCCTCGTCGTCCTCCTCCTCCAGCTGTATACTGGATGACGATAAAGTAGGAGAGAGAGCTGGTGCTACTGGTTGAGCATCACCGTGTATAGGAGTTGGCGCTGGAGGAGCTGCAGCTACAGCAGCAACAGCGGCGGCCGCCGCTGCTGCAGCTTCCAAAGCATTCACTGAATCAGCGCGAACAGGCTCGCTCAGCCGGCGTTGAGGCGAGACGATAGGTGCTGATCTCGCAGGCTCTCCAACCTCACTCTCCAACTCGCGTGCTTCCTCTACTGCAGGCGTGGGAGAAGTACCCCGCGGTTCGTTAGCAGAAATGCCAGTGCTGGAGTCAGGGGAGCATTCCCCCTTTGAAGATAGTTCCATCTGAGGTAGAGCAGCAGCAGTAGTCAGAATCGGGTCTGCCTGTGCCGGGGACGTGTGCTGCATGCTAGTAACGTATGAATCCGCCTGCCGGCTAGCGGCTGCAGAAAGCATGCCAAAGCCATGCGGGTAGTCATCAACAGCGGGGCTGGCAGGTCTGTCTTCGGCGCTGCTAATGTCCTCAATGAGGGGAACTGGGACAGTGGAAGCAGTGGCACAGTGAGGCACAAATACATTGTCATCACGCGCTGGCGGCATTGCAGGGCCTGGTGATATCGATACAGGCGACTTGGAGACGCTGGCCAATGCTGTATCCACCGCTGATTGGGAGGAGCTCCGAGATACCTTGGCCGAAGGCACCTTTGACAATTCCTCTCCTTCACCAGTGTCTTCATCGTCTTTGTCATCACCAGTGTCCCCTTCCATTTCCTCTTCATCATTAACATCCTCTTCATCAGCATCGTGCTCATCCTCATCAAGCTCACCATCACCTTCTTCATCAGCATCGATGCCATCATCCTCCTCTTCGTCATCTTCATTTTCACTGGTGCTTTTCGTTTCAGTGACTCCTTCATTCAATTCATCTTCCTCAGCCACACTCTGCAAGTCTTCATCAGCCATGTCGTCTTTGATGACCTCATCCGCATCCTCAACATCGCTCTCATCGTTCTCCGCTTTAATCTCTTCGTGTTCTTCTTCACCGTCACTATCCTCTTTAGCAGTGTCCTCGACTTCCATTTCAATGTCGGCATCAGCATCACTCACGGCCTCGTCACTAGGCTTTTCCTCCGTGTCGACTTGCGGCGCAATATTGGGCAGAACAACAGCAGTAGCAGGAGCGGCTGAAGGAGACATGCTTGCAGGGATATCCTTACTAGGAGCGACTGGACTGTGTTCAGCTTCAGATTTGGTGCTTGGTACGGCAGTGGCCGCTGTGCTAGGAGTAGTCAGAGTGGTAGACTCACTAGTAGCAGTGAGAATGCCAGTGGCAGATGATGACACCGGTACAACGGCTGAGTGAGAGCTGGATGACGATGACACCCTTCCCGTGCGGCTGGACGGGGCAGTTCCGGGCATCCGGCTACCACTTGCGCCGTCGCTAGCGTCGTCATCAGATGAAATAGCGGGACGGCCAGACGCTAGGCTACGTCCTGGTGGACGAGCTGGCCCAGTGTCGTCATCAGAGTCATCCTGAGTGGAGTGAGATGAAATGTACGGAGATTCCAGATCTGCAGCAAAGAGGAGAGTGCAAGAAAACAAAATGTAGAGAAAGAGGGTAGATGCTGCTAGGCAAGCACAGCATGGAATAATTGTTGATACCGGCTCCATGGGTTCAGCTAATACTAGTACGGCAGATGATGCTAGGCAAGCACAGCATGGAATAATAATTGTTGATACCGGCTCCATGGGTTCAGCTGATGATGCTAGGCAAGCACAGCATGGAATAATTGTTGATACCGGCTCCGTGGGTTCAGCTGATACTAGTACGGCCCATATAGGAATTGAAGATTCAGCGACTACATTCACAACAGTGGTATTACCCAGACACTACGTCTACACTGCTACATCTTGACCAAGTGCACAGTGGTATTTCGGTCCCGCTCAATTCACACCTGCCCAACACCAGAGCGACTATAATGTGGCTTGGTGAGTCCAGTCGTCCGAGTCGATTAGTACCAGCACTGTGCAGTTGCAGATATGCGGAACGCTGTAATGGTGCCGGGTGCTAACTTAGTCACGAGCCACGATTCCTCCAAGCAGGGCTGTGTAACAGCATAAACACTTGCAAAAAGCAATCACCACCCGGTCCTTGCCACTGCATGTAAATTTGAGCCCATCTAGAAAGCAAGACCGAGATTAGACTTAAGGTGAGACCACCTACTTACCAGAACGGGCATGGGCCTTCCGCTGTGGGGGGCGTATGGTGGCTGTGCAAAGAAAACATGAGAAGAAAGGGAAGCAATGCAGCACGAGAGAGAGAGAGAGAGAGAGAGAGAGAGAGAGAGAGAGAGAGAGAGAGAGAGAGAGAGAGAGAGAGAGAGAGAGAGAGAGAGATGAGGTGTATATACGAGGTGTGTGTGAGCGAGAGAGAGAGAGAGAGAGAGAGAGAGAGAGAGAGAGAGAGAGAGAGAGACAGAGAGAGAGAGACAGACAGACAGACAGAGAGACACAGAGAGACACACAGAGAGAGAGAGAGAGAGAGAGAGAGAGAGAGAGAGGGGGAGGGGGGGGGGGAGAGAGGAGGACAGGCGGATCAAGATGAACCTCCACCCCCACACGAGGACAGGCGGATCAAGATGAACCTCCACCCCCACATATAGATCCACACCATGACCATACTAATTTATTGTACAGTGGAACATGTCAATTACGTACACCCCAGGGCCCATACATATATGCCTGTCTACCTTACTGACGCACAGGTATCCACTTGAAATAGTACAATAGAGCAAAAAGAAAAGGGAAAGGGCACCGTTTCTAGCATACTCGCACATTGAAGATGTCTCACAGAACAACATGAACAGTCAAGCCTTGCGTGTACACTCCACATCCATCAGCTTCCCCGGCCAATCTTCTCTGAAATCCGTTGCAGCAGATGTACAGCAGCCAACTTGACACAGTCGTAACCACAGCCGTAACCCCAAGTGCATTTATAAGACTTAGTCAAGTAAAATAGCATGGTTGTAAAATGCGCAAAGCTGTAGTTTCTGTACTCACCCTGATCGGAAGAGGTATGCCCACTGCCACGCCGCTCGCGGTCACGGCGCAAGCGTGATGGTGCACCGGCCGGGGCGGAGTTGGGAGGCGAGCGGACACCTGCCGCAGACGGCGTCGTTGCTTTCGACGTGCTTGACGCAAAGCCCCCGCCACCGCTAGTGCTGCTGCTGCTGCCAGCTGTCGTGGCTGAGCTGGGTCGTGGAGCACGGGACTTGGAGCTTGGTGTGGTTGCCTGTAACCAGCAAGAGTAAAACAGAGCATGGCAGCCTCAATGAGAATGGCTCAAAAGCACGGTAAGATTTTGTCCCCATGGACTCAATGGCATGGGCAGATTGTAGACTTAAAAAGCCTGACACAGCGTTATAACGTACAAAGCTACAAAAGACATTTCGCACTTTCATACTTTGAAGCATAAAATACGAGACGAGCACGAGCGGGGTGCTCATTCGGTCGACAATTCGTAAGAACGCTGCAGAAAGCCTCGTCTATACCAGTGCATGTGTCTTTATTCATCGGCTGCTCTGAACGGTCTCCTACATGTTTCACTGTGGAGTGCACTTCGTATCCACCAAGCAGGGAGTACTAGAAGTACAGTCAGACCTCGTTTATCCGGTCCTCTTTTATCCGGATCCCTCGCCATCCGGAAGAAAATCGTTAGTTACCGATTTACAGCACATGCCACGCATACATGCAGTATGTGTGTTCAATTATCCGGTTCCCTCGCCTATCCGGATATTTTTTGTGGAAAACGGATGAGTGCGGTTAAGCGAGGTCTGACTGTAACATGTGTTTACTACTCCCTGCTACTAACTGAGATATTCCCTCTACATGTACATATGTACCAGCTCCATGCAATGTAATAAGAAGCAGGAACAAGCTAATCCATGCTAAACAATGCGTTCGTCATGGACCAAAAAGTTGAACAATATGACAATGTGGGGGACCATGGTGCTATAATGATCGCTAAGTGCGTGAAACTCGGAGTTAAACACTTTTTTCCATCTTCTTATGGTGGCAGTCAGTTTTTTCTTCAGGCTTTTCTCGTTTGTGTCTTTCCCTCAAACCAGTGAATATTATTGTTCGTGCTAAATACAGGTGGAATCCTGATAATTCGAATATGGCTTAATTCGAACATACCGCTTAATTAGAAGTTTTTCCAGGACCGATTTCTGTCAATACGATTCCCACATAAACAAATTCTGATAATTCGAACCTCGAACTGGACATGTACGGTTAATTAGAAGTCCCACGGATTCCACTTACATAGAAAATGTGTGGGATTTGTGCTGATAATTCAAAGTTAGCAAAGTGTAATTCGAAGTTCACTGTACACTGTACCGGTCAGTTCAGTTTGCATGAGCAGGCTGTACTGGTCAGTTCAGTATCCGTGAAATCTGTGTCTAAGGTCCATAGCGCAACTCTGCTTGACCATGAGAGCATTTTGACATACCTATTGTGTTGTGGGTGCATGTTTGGATAATTAGAATGTCCGGATAATTAGAAGTTTTTTCCTGGCATTTTGAGGTTCGAATTATCAGGATTCCACCTGTAATGATAAAAAATATGTAGATGACGCATGCATATACATGTACTTAGAGTACTGATTACTCAAGACTGTTTGGTGGAGAAAACAATTAGAAGTACACAAACAAAACTATATATAATGTACCAGCGTACAGACATCGTTAAAGTGCCATCAAGTGACTATCCACACAGTAAACAATTACAATACTTGTAGTAAGGCTACCATGTGAAGTTCATCCACCGTGTTGAGGGCTCAATTTGCAGAAAGCAAAGCGCGGGATACACAGTCAGAGGAACGAGCAGTTGCTTTTTCGTAACTCAGAGTTTCACGAACTGAATCGATGAGGAACTGCTCGTTCTTCTGACTGTGTAGTAAGGTTAGCAACACCAGTCAAGACCACCATTCAAGACCACCAATCAAGACCAATGTACCTTTGAAGGAGATGACATCGTGGAACCACGTCGCTGATTGGCCGGGATGGACTCCACAATACGGTCGGCTGCAACCCACTCATCATACCTACATGGCCAGGACAGCAATGAGAAACATAGAGTGAGAGAGAGAGAGAGAGAGAGAGTATATGAGAGAGAGAGAGAGAGAGAGCGTGTGTGAGAGAGAGAGCGGGTGAGAGAGAGAGTATGTGAGAGAGAGAGAGCGTGTGTGAGAGAGAGAGCAGGTGAGAGAGAGAGAGAGAGAGAGAGAGAGAGAGAGAGAGAGAGAGAGAGAGAGAGAGAGAGAGAGAGAGAGAGAGAAGATAGAGCAAAGTCAATACACAGGGAGCAGAGAGTAAATGCGTCAATCAACATGAATCATCAGCAAGTAGCAAAGCAAAACTAGCAGGCAGTATTGGCATGTCAACAAAATTCAGCAACAGAGAGTGCATGCATGGGTGGTGTGTGTGTGTGTGTGTGTGTGTGTGTGTGTGTGTGTGTGTGTGTGTGTGTAATATGTCCTGGGAACGCTGCAGCTTCCACTGCGCCCGCTGCAACCGCTGTATGCTATCGCGCCAAGGCATGAAGCGTCACAAGTGCAGCCGTGGCTTGGCCAGAGCAACCAACACAGACCGTAGCTCCTTCTGCATCGTTTGCAATTGCGGTCGGCGTTTCAGTAGACCACAGGACCTATCACGTCATCGCTCCTACTGTTCCAAACCTGCTCAACCCCCCATGGGGTCCGCATAGCCAGAATACGGCAGCGCGTCCAAGGTGTGTGTGTGTGTGTGTGTGTGTGTGTGTGTGTGGTGGTGGTGTGTGTGTGTGTGAGTGTCGTCTCTGCCAACGTTGGTTCCGCAGGCCCGGTGGATTGGCTACCCATCGGTGCGATCACGGACCTGCTCCCAACATCGAGCACCCCGGCAACCCGGTCACTCCGCAATGCAGCACCTGTGACCGGAGTTTCAAGTCCAGCAGCGGCTTGGCCAGACACAAGTGCGACCGCACGAAACGAAGGACAGTGTCGGAAAGGGCCGACTTCCCGTTTGAGTGCCCTTGCCAAAGGAAGTTCCGACTACGTCACCATCTAGTGCGCCATCAGAAGTGCTGCTCCTCAGCGTCTTCCACCCCTCTCCCCTGACGGGGACCGTGTAACCTATCAAGGCAACGTGTATCAAGGTCAAGGTCAAGGTGTGTGTGTGTGTGTGTGCGTGCGTAGGCGGGTGCGCGTGAATGTGTGCATGTGCGTGGGCCCCATTTGTACTCGCATATGTCGCGCTACATTTCCAGTGTACTGCAGTCGGGTTGTGATCTCTTGTCGGCAAAACACAAACACACACACACACACACACACACACACACACACACACACACACACACATACACATGCACCATTCAAACGTTATCCTCACCTGGTATTCCACCCAGCATAGTGAATATAGTGGTTGATCGCCGTGCCCTCCCGTTCAATTTCAATTACCTACACGGATAAGATCGGAAACGAGACATCATCAACCAACCTCAAACCAAGGAGTGGATCTAAACAGCGACACACACTTCGCATTAGGGCAGCAGAAGATGAAACCAGTAACAACTAACGTTACAACCACCATACCTTGGCTTCATAGAGCTTGAGATTGCGACCGCGGCCATATCGGACACGAATTTTGGTACCAACGGGATAGTAGACCGAGGACTTTCCCCTGCATCACGAACAGCAACGAAACACAAAGAGATCAACATCAAGAAGCACCGGGAAGCAAGAAAAAACGACAACGATGCCACCAGACAAGGAACAATAATCTGGTTTCCCCGCGAAGAATTATGTACACAAGAAAGAGAGACTGAGGGATAGTAACATTGTGAACACACAAGAGAACACAAGAGAGTGATGGCGGAAATGACACGAACAAAATCTCTTCAAAATCTCTTCTCCTTTTCTCCTGCCCATGCACAGGAATAAAGTTAACACTTTTCAGTGATAGCATGCAGCAAGTTTCCAGACGAGACATAAACACAGCACTACATACATGGCCACACATCCTACTACAGTCCATTTCAAAAATATAGACGCATGGTATTTTTGAAATATTTCAAATTTGGCTAGAGCTTTTTGAGAATTTTTTTTCAGAATATTGCTTAGGTCCTTCCCACAATTACTCTCATATAGATTATGAAGCGATCAGATAACAAACACCCAATTTGGAATATTTTGTGCACAAAGTGATCACAGATTTTATGTGGTATAGATGCTGGCCTAATGGTTTTTTGAAATCACGCGTTTATATTTTTGAAACGCACTGTACACACACAACAGCCGCCCAAACATTCACACCCACAGTGACCCTACAAACAAGCCAGTACATGTACTTACTTTCCAGACGGACCATCTGCAGACCATGTTGCAAGCAGCAGCAGAGAGAGAGAGAGAGAGAGAGAGAGAGAGAGAGAGAGAGAGAGAGAGAGAGAGAGAGAGAGAGAGAGAGAGAGAGAGAGAGAGAGAGAGAGAGAGAGAGAGAGAGAGAGAGAGAGAGAGAGAGCAGAATAAGACATAGAAAACCAATACATGTACACCAGGTCACAGAGGTTTCGGAAGATATTGCAGCCATGAAGAGACAGGGGGGGGGGGGGGCTCCCCGGGAAAACCTTTGGAAATTTGGGCCCAAATCGCCCATATTTTATTTTTATTGCTTAATCACAGGATTAGGTGCACGTGCCACACCAGTTCCAAAGCCCCTGGGTCATCACACTCCACAGGGAAAGCAAATCAAGCCGAGGGAATACAGACTAGGGCAGAATCAAAAGCCGTATTCAGAACATAAAGGGATAACAAACACGCCTTACCATCTTCATCATCCTCTTCACCCATGGCCGATTCAGTGTCCTCGACGTCAGCATCAGCAGCTTTATCGTCATCATCGTCACTCTCCTCTTCTTCCTCCTCCTCTTCTTCTTCTTCTTCTTCTTCATCTTCGGCAGTGGCCTCTGGTCCAGCGGTTTCCACTTCTTCTTGCTCTTCCTCCTACAAAAAGAATTTCAAAGTTATAAATAGTGACAGGTACAAGAGTCACGACAAGCATATGTGAACAGGGAGCATTTAATATTGGCGACAGGTGCACCTCACATCCTATCCCAACTGTTAGTCTTCCACTGACACTACACCATCCTTCAAATAGGAAGCATCATCACTTGCCAACCAGCGCAAGAAAGACCCGAAGCACCCGCCAAGAACAGAGCCAAAGGCAATGAGAATCAGAAACATCACTATTAGCAATTTAGCATACCTCGGCGGCAGCGGGTGCGGCAGTGTTCTCTTCCTCTTCCTCCTCCTCTTCCTCTTCTTCTTCGTCTTCACCTTCGTCATCATCTCCGGCCGTGGCATCATCCCCATCTTCTGCTTCGTCGCCTTCGTCATCACCATCTCCAGCCTCAGCTTCGTCCATAGCCGCTGAACGCCTTCCACCTGACCTCACACCCTTTTCAGACTCTTCCAGCGGCAACAAATACCTGTTAGAGAGAAAATAAAACACACGATTTGAACGAAGTATGCCACAATACGTGTGCATACAAAAAATGAACCAACACAAAAAGCCCTCTAGAAGCAGTATCATTGGCATTCCCCAAGGCTATGCAGTATGTACTCTTGGTATGTGTTGTACCCAAAGGGATAACAAGTGCAGGATTTTTACGAGTAGTGTGTTCACCCAATGTATGTACATCCACATCCATTTAGGCGCTAAAAAAAATGAAAGACAATTACGTTAACCCACATACTTCTCATGCATACACCGGTACGTGTACAACACATCATGCATTGCTAATGTGTGGGGATCAGAAGAAGGATTTCATTTGCTACTGTTCTACCAGCAGATAGTACTAGACACTAGCAAGCACAACATCAGGCTGCTAGTAAGGGGCCGTCCGAGGTAACCCACTGTCTTTTTCGAAACGAAACGTATTTTTTAGCCCCCACCCACGCAACCCACCCTTTCTGCAAGCAAAACCAATTTCAACAAAAGATATTAAAGATTGATATCAATATTCGGCAGCCAGTAGCACTTGGGCACTCTCCACGAAACTCCTAAAGCCCACCCCAAACGAAAACTTTTCGTCTTGAAAAAAAACTATCGGTAACCCTGGACGGGCCCCTAATAACACAAAGTAATATTGCTTGCATAACCTGAATATGCAGAACACCATGTGAACGCCGTACACTACACTACACTACACGACACCACACTATACCTTGTGTAGGATGCCTTCAGACTCGGCGCTGAGACTGCCGCACTGGGCGGAAAGTTCATCTTGCCAAAGATGTCGCGCCATTTGTTTCGTCTGGTGACCTAGGTTCAACAAAGGATGCAAGAGGACCAGAAGACAATGAAATCAACCACCCAACAACAGCTGAGGCCTGACCAAACTACTGTCGGTGTGTGGTCATCTGGGTGCAAACATGTGGAGCAGTGAGAGCAACTAATACTTTGCGTGTATGTGTATGTGTGCGGGCGTGCATGTGTGTGTGTGTGTGTGTGTGTGTGAAAGTGAGTGTGTGTGTGAAAGTGTGCGTGTGTGTGTAAGCCAATGTGTAAGCCAATGTGTGCGTGCGTGCGGGCGTGTGTGCGCGCGCCAGTGTGCGTGCGTGTGCACACACGCGTGCATGCGTGTATGTGGGTGGGTGTTACAAACATGCCGCGGAATATTATAATTATGATAACATCAACGCTCTCAAACTTATGAATGAGTAGTATGCACTTTCATTTTACTAGGGTAGGCAGAGCAGTTTCTGTGGTGTTGATATAGAAACCAGGGCGGTCGGTCGTGTGATCCTTCCTCTTATGCACAAGTCATCATGCATTGTCTAGACAGCCAGTCTATAGACGTGTGATGTTTTTTTCTGCATGCGGCGCAGGACAATATACCGTATTTTTCCGGAGTATAGTGCGCACCTTTGTATAACGCGCACCCCCAATCTTCGTTGGGGGTGCGCATTTCAATCTTCATTGAAGTACATGCATTTCATATTCGGAGTATAGTGCGCACCTGCGATTTAGGGCCTAAAATAGCACATCTAAAGTGCGCACTATACTCCGGAAAATACGGTAGTTAACAGTCAGCGGCTAGCCGCCTGCAGCAGCAAGACTGCCAGCTAGCAGGGCTGGGAGTGTTTCTCACACTGCTCTTACCTCATCATGGCCGCCGTGTTGGCTGACTAGGTTGTACAGGGACTGAAGGTCCAGCGGCCGATGAGCAAGGGTAGGGGCCTTAGTAAGAGGTGTGCCTACATGCCAGAAACAAGAACAAGAACAAGAACAACAACAACAACAAGAACAACAACAACAACAACAAGAACAACAACAACAACAAGAACAACAAGAACAACAAGAACAAGAACAAGAACAAGAACAACAACAAGAACAACAACAACAACAACAAGAACAACAACAACAACAACAACAACAACAACAACAACAACAACAACAACAACAACAACAACAACAACAACAACAACAACAACAACAACAACACTGTAAAGTGTTCCATAATTCTGTATGCCCGTGTGCAGCTTTTCCTCGCTGTTTCTCCTGTTGTACACTTTTATCTCTTATTGGCCACTGGCCATCACGAGGATGACGATTTGGAACAATAACGGCACAACAGCAGCAGCAGCAGCAATGTACACATACATGTGTCATGAATATCTCGGATACATATACAGTACACCGCAATATTGCTGGGTCATTACAAATTTCCCTCATCGTAAACTCTAGCTACTGGTGCACACGATGGCAGTGAGTGGACTATCATACAGATCAGTAAAGTTTCTTCAACAACTGCCATGCTCCCATATCCGCTAGCATGACACTGCCAACGACTGTCTATAGAGTATGGACCACTGTAAAAAAATGTGCAACTACACTTCACTGGTGACTGGCCATGCAGCTTACCCTTCTTTTCCAGAACCCGCTTCAGTTTCATCATCCAAGCATCCTTGCTGGACGACTGGGCGGTGGTAGCAGCAGACCGATCCTCCTCACTTGCACCGCCTTGGACGGCCTGAGAGCACACAGATGCCATGCAAGTAGCACAGTATTAGAATCATGCATGCACCACGCACTAGTAGTCAACACACAATAAAATGCTGTGTGTGACGGCTACTGCAACAAAAGACCACCCACCCTTTAGGCCATGGTAAAGATTATCTTTGATTCTCAAGTACGCGCGCACCGATTTTTGGCGGCGCACCGACGATCTTTTTTATTTCTATGCATGCATATGCGCGCATGAAAACGGTCAATGCGAAATGCATGAACTCTGAATATATGAACACGTGACCATGTACATATGTGTGACCCTATCTTTGGAAATAAAAAAAACTGTGGGAAATAAAATAAAAATTGCTCGCTCGCACCGATTTTCACAGGCTCATGACCTGAGAATCAAATTTATTTTTTACCATGGCCTTAGACTGGTCATTTCACACACCACGCCATGCGTTAAAAGGACCGTTTTTCTGCACACCCTGGGGTAGTTGCTCAACACAGGCTTAAATCTTCGAGTCAGCCACGAATATACGTACTCAATTTCCTCAACGTAACTTTGGTTCCACTTTACAGATTTTGAAGAGCCTGTGCTCGTTGGAAAGCTCTGGTAAGCAGCTTACAACGAGCCCAAACTCGTCAAGAGCACCACTTATTGTGTGCCACAGCGCGCTCCAAACGACAGTCAAGTTGCAGATCTGAGACTGACCTTAGCTCGGAACTGCTCAAAATTTTCGAGTGGAAGATAACCTTGCCAGCAGCATGTACTCAGTATTAAACGCAGAAATCGCAAAATGTTCGACCGATCGCCGCTCCCTCAAACTTCATCGGAGAGACTTCGGACCTGTTCGAGGCGATATCTGAGAGTTCTCTCTACCACATACATAACAGACTTTTCAATAGTTGAATTTGGCCAAGATTTGGCCGAGTTACGAAAGTTTGGCTGCGCCTACATGAATACAAATGAGCATGGCTCGATTTTGCACCACGGATGCCAAGGGATAAACAGCCGCTGGACATTTCCCAACCATTTCAATTTGAATTCAAAATGACAAACTGTTTCGACCTGCAATTTGATAAGGAAAACTGGCTCGTGGTAAAGAGCATGGGACTTGTTGTATTTTGAACTATTTTCTTGTCTCCTACAATTATTACAATGTAATTTGAAACTGTCCACCTCTCCACACTGCGCTCTTGGCCCACATTCACCACACCATAGCGAGGAAGAAGAAATGTGGCCAATCTAGAAAACATTGCGCATTAAACACAACAAAATCCAATGGCAAAAACATGTCAACAAT